TTTAAAATTTCTCGTTAATATCATAAAATTACGAATTCGAAAAATAAGAAAAAAAATTACATTTTTTACTATTATATATTAATATATAATTTATGTTATATTTCAACAAAATTTTAAAATGATGAACTGATTTTTCATGAACGAAAGTTGTAATTTAAAAAATGTAAATTTTATATCATTGTATTCTATTGGGTTTACTCAGGAATCTACGATTTCTTCACCAGATTTTTATATAAAAAAATATTAAGTGATAGATTAGTAATAAGTCCTAAACGAATTTGTTACCATCTTGGACTCAGAGTTCATTAAAAGCTTTTTATATTGAAATACCAAAATACCGTTAATATGGACCAGTTTTGTGTTCTTTTTAAACTAATATTTACACGTAATTTATTTTATATTTGCTGTTACAAAATGAACGTTTATTCCCAAATAATCAAAAAAAAAATGTTGAAGTTATATCAATAAAATTACGAAAGTTCTAATTTACAAAATGTTAAAGTTAATACAACCAACTTAATTAATGCGTTAATAATCACGCATTTTATCCTAAAGATTCTTCTAAAGTCATGATACTAATAGAAATCAATGGTATCAACTATCGAATTTCGTTTATTACAACTTTCCTATGTTATTTTGATGTAATTCTATTTCGCTTTTTTATTATAAAGCAGTGTTTCTCAACCTAATTTCCGTGCGACCCAACATAATTGTTTCACTACGGACTAATTGTTTATGAATTAACTTGGTTTGACGTAAGCTGACAGCTGTCATTTTACGTTATACAACATTCAACAAAAAGTTTAAATAATGATAGATCTTCAACATATAAATTCTACTTTATAATATGTTCAATTTGAAATGTGTCCATTCATTTTATCTCACGCACTAAAAAACATCTTTGTTTTTTGGTACATTCGGTCAGGTCCATTAAAAAGCATCATTTCGAAATACCGTTAGAACCGTTGCGTGCGTTTTCCTGTCCTCTTACACAGTGAACGCGCGTTCGGGTCGATACAAAGATTATTCGTACATAATAATCCACATGCAAACAACGTGGGAAGCTTTATTAATTTAACAAACATTATCGCGATCTGTTGCATAATACGTGAGGCGTGCAATTCCATTAACTCCTAGTTGAATCATCACATGTATCTCTCTTTTAATTAATAGCATTGAATCGTATATCACAGTTGTTTTTTTTACACGAATTCGATACAATCTTTTCAGTTGTAAATTACGTTTTAAATTTTTATACAATTCTGATACAATCTATTCAATTCCGAAACAATAGTTTTCTTTTATTGTTGACGAAATAAACTTCGTTACGTAATTGATGCAATTTATCTTAAATAGGTCACCATAACTAATTACAACAAGTGTACGGAATAGTTCGAAGTGTAATCTCTTGTAGATTAATTGACCGACAATTAGATTAGTTCGAGTCATTTGATCTTTGACCTTAAAAAAAATAATATTTTAGTTTCAAACTGATTTGTTTAAATAGTTTTATGTAGTTTATATTTAAATTTGAAATAGTCAAGTGATAACATCTTTAAAAGAGAAATCCGGTCTGTTACATGCAGGAAATCAAATTAAAATAAAATTTAATTGATTTTAGAAATTTCGTAAAAGTTATGAATTTCTGAAGATTTGTAATATATTGATGAAATTCTGAATATATTGATACTTTTGGAATCAATAACATATTTATTTTAATACTTAATTACTGCTGATTTTTTCTATAATAATTGTAATACAACAAATGTAAAAATGAATATGATCAAGTGAAATTGTGTATATTATTCTTTACAATGTTTTTTTTTAAATTAAACCTTTTAAGAAAATGATAGCACTTGAAAAGTTATCAAAGACAAGTAAATAACTTGTAAAATACAGTTATTTTTTTTTACAAGGACGAAACTTTAACATAATCTTCCTTTTAATTATGATTTCCTGTTTTTTTCTTTTTGACTGAGTCACATTTATTTTATTTCTTCTATTGTTTTTTTTTTCTTGAATCGTGAATGCTTTGGCATTTCTATGACAATTTACATCACATCCGTCAATTTGACGTTTATCCAACATTGAACAATGAATCAGTTCTAAATAAGTTTAGCAACGCATTAAATGTTTCGTTTGGTACTTAAATATGTCCTTAATTAACAATGATGAACATACAAATACTCAGGTAATTATTCAATTTAATTATTTTGTAGTTATTATTGTAATATTTTTATGTAAGTTTAGAAACATTTTTTTATACATAATAATCCACAAAAATTATAATATAAACCAGCGTTTCTCAACCTATTTGTCGCACGATCCAATATATTTTTTTGTTATTATGCAGCGACTCAATTGGTTATAATATTAACCAGTTTCAGTCTTTGACATTAGATGACAGTTGTCATTTTGCGAACCATATGTTGAGAAACGCACATATAAATTATATAAGAGGATGCAATTTTATTAACTGTTTATAATTGTTTAAAAACAGTTCCTATAGGAATATATGAAATCAATGAATATTGTAGCTAAATGTTGAAATAATCGATCCTGCATATTGAGCATTAATCCCCTGATAAGATAATAATAATTATTTCGATTCGAGTTTCGTGCTTGGGTAGGGTGTTGTTTTTGGGTAACATTTTTGCGTATCGTTTCCGCGAAATCCGATATTGCATGCATTACACTTATTTCCGGCCTCCTCCCTACGAACTCTCCCTTTTTTTGTGTGTGTGTTATAATTTACATTTGATTGCACGTCATGTCATTTATATATGGGACATGGCAACCCTGACATGTTAGACAAGACCTAAATGTTTGGCATATGCCTACTTAACGCGTGCTAATATTGAAATACTCAAACTTTATTCGTTTATTGATTATCTTTTGTATACTATATTTGTGTCTACCGAATTATTTGTTGGATAGAATCGAAGATGGAAATAATTCGTATTGGAATGACGAACGGTTTGCGTATCTTTTTATGTCGAAGGTGTGTTCTTTCGTGGGGTTGGATTTATTGATCGTTTGTTTGAGTTAAGGTGAAGGAGGTGGGACGAAGGGTTGATTTGTTTTTACCATTTGGGGAAAGTTTGTCTGCGATAAAAGGTTATTGGCAGGTTTTACTATCTTGGTCACGAGGTGTGGATGCTCCGAAATCATGAATGGGCATCGTCTGACGATTGATTAACCTTGGCACTTCTCCCTCGCCTTCGCGAATTCAATTCATTAAGAACGATTTCGCTGTTCTCCTTTAATTAAATTGGAATTGACTACAGCAAAACATAATTATCGAAGCTAATAATTATTGAAGCAATTAATTACACAAAACGATTATAAATGATTAACGTGAAAGTAGTTTATGGATTCTGTGCGTTTAATAGAAATAATGTTAATAATTCGCAGTTTTTTTTTTTGTAAAAAACGGTTCTTGGTATGTTTATGATGCGTTTTGAAAGGTTTGCAAAGGCGTTTGTAAATGTGGGCGGTGAGGTCATCGAATTCACAAGAACTGTTCGATTATTCGACGATATTTTATTATTTTATCTCAGTAGGAGTATATATTATGGACTTGAATATACAGCTTTGTTTCTTATGTGGTTCAGACAAACGTTTTTACTTTAGTACGACTCATATGAAAGACATTTTTGGTAATAGCCATCTTGAATAATAGTTGCTTTTATATAATTAATGTCCACAAATTAACCAATGTTGCTAAAGATACATTATGGTTGCTATGGTTTTTATGACAGTTAACGTCATGACATCTTTTGATTGATTCTCCATTTGCCAATTATTAGCAATTCACCCCAGTTGATCAGGGTGTGTTGTAAATACTATAACCCTCAATGTTGTTATGGGTACTTTTTGGTTGCTACGAACGCCACCACCGTTGTTAAGGACGCTTCATTATTAAGTTGTCAAATATTATCAAACAAACCATGTTTTTTTTTGCAAATACATGGACAAATTACTTGACAAGTTTGTACAAGTACTTGTAAAGTTCAGAAAATAATTACAGAAGTTTACTAATTTTTGTTAAACTTATATTTATATTAGAAATATTATATACTTATTACTGCAATTAATATGGGAATTATACAAGAATAATAAAAATATTAAAAATAATTATATTTAATTAATTATGTAATATTACAACTATGGATCAACTAAAGATACCAGATAATGTAGTGACATAATTTTTCAATTGTCTTGTGCGTTGTTGTTAGCACAAATTTCTGCTGCGAGAGTCAATGAGCTCAACACCATACGAAATTATAGGACTTGTTCATGTTAAAACATCTGTCACACATACATTGCCCACTTGCCAATGCTGCATGACAACAGTATATAAACAGTTATTGTTTCACATCTGAATATTTACTTGTTAATGTATTGTTTGTGTTATGTAATATGTATTAATCTAAAACAATGCAGTTGTTGTCAATTTCTTTAAAAATATATTTATTAACGTACTAATTTAATTATTATATATATTACAGCTTTAAGTAATGTTCAAATTATTTTGAATTATTAAACAAAAACAATAATGAAATCTAATTACTAATTTACATAAAGAACATAGACAATAAAAGCAGGAATTTCAGATGTAGACGTGTAATTATTATTTACAGTTTTGATTTATACTTGATAATTACTCCAGTTGTCTGAAAAAAAAACACATTAATTTTCTTAGTGTATGTAAACATTAATAGATGCGTTTATTCTAGTTGCATTAACATTGTTAGGTAATCAAGTTGTTACACTAAAATTTAATTTATTTGATATTGAAGATCTTAATATTGTAAATTTTGATATTATTTGCATTAGTTATCTTTTAACAATATTTATTGCAACACTACAATTACAGTCAAAAGAGAGTAATGCAATCATTTTTGGTTGAAAAATAATGGTAGAATAGAAATAATAATTATCTTATCAATTGAGTAAATGTAATATGCATATGTTAATTAGTCTTGTATTTGTTTCAGGTGTTGTATTCAGGCCATGCATTTTATCGGGCATCTACCTGTTATTCACTTTGGTGTCGGCTTCGGTTCCCGTTCCGACACCGGAGACGATGAATGGAGCCACCGGAATATACCTAAAGATACTGATAATGCTATCAACGCTGACCGGTCTCGGCCAGCTAATATTCCAATGCCTCCTCCTGTTAAAGTATACACCTTACGGTGAGATCCTCAACAGCTGCGGTTTCCTTGAACGTCTCCTCCGACACGCTGGATTCGTACGTCTGGACCAACTGGACGTGCAGAACATCCTCGTGTGGGTCACCCCTGAGGTGGTAATGTTCCTAGCCTCCATCGCTTTCTTCATAACTTTCAAGAAACTTGTGATGCCAATCGAGTCGCATTCTGAAGAGGAAGGCGTTCCGCAGAGAGAAGAGACTCAGGTTAAAAATGGAAAAAGCAACTTCTTCTTAGCTATGGGGAAGTACCTGACGATCCTCGCGTTCTGCGTCGCTGCAATTTTCAAGCCCTCGGTGATCGGAGGGTTCTACTTCTTGGTGTTCTTGTCATCAGCCACTTGGTGGTCCTGCAACAAGCAGTTGGCCAAATGTTTCGGCGTAGTTCTGAAGATATGCATGGCCGTCGTTATTTGCCACATCTTCACACTGTACACCTACCAGACGCAGTGGCCTCAGGAGTTCCTAGATCCGAACAGCACTTACGCCAGGTACTTTGGGCTCTCGGTGATGCTGAAGGTGAATTGCGATGAACCTCGAAACTTCATCTACGAGGAAACAATTTGGACCGATTACGCAAACGTCGTGGCCCTTTTACTTCTTTACTTCATCATCGCCATGGAATCGAAGCAACTGCTCCAAGCTCAGGTAAATTCATTGCATCATTTCATAAGCATCTTCTGATGGGCATTAAACCATAGTATTAATATAATAATATTACCTAAAGTTGTTGCACCGTAACTAACTAACATCTTGTAATTTTACGATTGTTCGTTCGTCATTGTTCTTACCGGAAAGCCGGCCAAGAAGCAAGGGACATTCTCGCGCTTGGAGGGCAGCTTTAAGGGGCCTCTTAGCCGCCAGCTATCCCAGAGATTGTCTGACAGACGTCTCCGGAGATCTGGCACCAGTAAAAACCGTTGGCAGAGCGCCACACGGAAAGTTCGCGTAAGGAAAAAAAGAGCATCCACATTGACACACCTACCTTACTACACACACAATCTCTCTCTTTATTTACCTTTATTTTATATTTATGATTAATTTGCAACTTCTCTTTACCTCGTTTGTTTAATAATTTACTTTTTTGTCTATTAATTACAGTTTTATTTTATTTGGATTTTATGTTATTATTATTTTTTTTTTGCTTTTGCTTTTGGTGCAATTCTAGAGTTCTAACCCGCTGATTGAAGGGATTGTTGGCGAGTCCACGCCCGTATGTATCTTTTATTTTATATTTTCATTTCACTTAAATTTTATTTAATTTTGGCCTCATTAACAAACAAATCTTCAATTACTTCTTTCGGATTTCTTCGGGATTTGGTTCGTTAATGTTTGTTTTGATGTTTAGCTGCTGCACAGAGCCGGAGCAGGGCAAAAGTACGGACGTGGCAAGGGAACCATACTTCAGGATTCAACTGGAAGCGTCATAGTGAACAATGAAGATGCAATGGATGATATTCCCATGGAGAATATAGAAAATGGTAACGTGCTAAATGGTATTTTTTTGCACATGGTTTGAACGTTTTTCCTGTTTCAATAGGAAATGGAGTGGCAGATGATGAACCTTCTATATTCGAGCAAACCGTTTACATTCTTGAATCAATTCTGCTCTTCGTCATCAGGACGTCATACATTGCTACCAATATCATCATGATGGTAAGTACATTGAAAAATAGTAATTTGTAATCTAAATTTACTAGTCGTATTTGAAGGGAATTATAGTATATTAGATCATTTAACTTAGGCGTTAAATTCTAAAATTACAATTTTAATAACATCTATATGTTTTAGGCATGGAGTATCACATACCACAGCTGGTTAACATTCGTGCTTCTTCTATGGGCGAATATTCTGTGGATGGTGCCCAACCAGAGGAAGTTCATGTTGCGTTCGAGTCCGTTTCTGGTGCTGTATGCATGGTTCCTATTAATTTCCGCTTACATTTACTCGATGAACCTCACCGACGAAGAACTGCCCGTAATCATTTACAACATCGATCTAGCCCAAATAGGTTTCCAGAAGATCAGGATAATGGCTTGCACCCCGCTTTTTATCAAGTGCCTTTTCACGACAATGTTCTGGATCACCCTCAAGCAGTACGTGAAAGAGCGCGAAGATGCCAGAAACATTTCCGTTCTCGCCGATATGACGGCTCCTCTCCAAATTTCCGTCGGTGCCGTTACCGGTAAGACTACCAAGCACAAATCGTCTTTCTCATATTTCATATTATTTCGCAATTTTTCGCTTTGTACAATACAACCGAAACAACGTTATTTTGAATTCGCTTCTAAATTTTTTTCTGTAGATAATTTTTCAAAATTTCGTGTAAATAGTGACGATAATTTCGGATTGGTTACTAGTTGCAGGAGTCGATGCTCTTGCACTCAAAAATTTTAAATGTAAACAACAAGTGTATCCGGAAAATTTGAACGATCAGCCGCAATATTTGGCGCCGTTCAATGAGCATGGAGCAGATAGTATCTCAGCAGCAGGTACACGTTTTGCGAAATATACCTTCAAAGAGATTTCAATCATTCAAATTTATAAATTCATATTTCATAGAAATAAATTAGTTTTTTGTATTTATCCACTAATGAGTATTTGTAACTTTAGATGAAAGCACGAAGAAGAAGGATAAGGAAATACTGACGAGATTCGGAAACGTAGTCAGAGGTATTCTGACGCGCTTCTGGATCTGGATTGTTGCCATCACCTTGTTCTTCGTTGCTATTACCGGGGAAAGAATGACCAGTTTCAGAATCCTCTACATGGCGCTGTTTTTAACCTTCATCTTAAGTTTTCAGGTAAACTTTGATGAACTATTTAGGCAATAAAGATTAAAGTAAATTTCCAATTTTAGGTTTCGTTCAGAGCTTGGAGAAAAATCATGTTCGCCTTCTGGATCACGGTTATCGTTTATTCCATGTTAATTTTAGTACTGGTCTATACATATCAATTCAATCATTTCGCCGATTATTGGAGGGACTATCTCCATGTTAGTGAAGAACAGTGAGTAACATTAAAATTAATAATATATCATTAAAATAATAATATTGGTGTTTTAAGACAATTGGATATCGGGTTGGAAAAATACGATGCTAAACAATTGTTCGTGCGATTAGTGACACCCACATTCTTCGTCATAATAACTGTGATACAAGTCCACTACTTCCATAAGGATTTCCTGGAATTATCGAAACCAAATTATGGAAATATTATGGACACAACTAAGTCCGAGGCGAATAGTTCAGCGCAGGGTGGCATCAAAATGATGGACGACGATGATGAAGAGAACGAGGATGGTCAATATTCGAATCTGGATCTTACGGACATCGAAAGTATGCAACAAAAATATTGATTATTGCAATGAATACAATTACAAATTATACAATTCCATAGATGTGTCCGTCAAAGTGGTCCAAAAGAAGTTCTACAAATTCCTGACTTTCCTCTACGAAATTTGGAATTTGTGTCTGCTCTTCTTGGAAATTCACATGCCCAAATTCGTGCTGCTCATGGCTATGGTTGTGTGTCTGATGGACACGTGCGCTCTCTACTTAATAGTCATAGTCTTCATCGTATTAGGAGCTTCGGTTGGAAAATCGATGCTCAACATATCGATCTACTGGAGTTCTTTCATCGTCTCGATTCTGATGCTCCTGAGGATGGTCTATCAAATCAAGTACATCGATCACGATATTTGGAACGTCAATTGCACAGTATGGATGATTATCACAAAAAAAATAACATTAAACTAAATTAAATAAATCAATTTTTATAGGTAAACGATAAGAACCTTTCTATGAACGATGCTGAATGGTTGGGATTCAGGAAAGTCCCCAACGGCCGTGACTTACCCGAAATGGTCAAATGGAATATCGTGTTCATCATAATCGTAACCTTATGGTGCGTGCTCAAAGTGCGACAGATAAATTTCCGCGCGATGGGCGGAGATTTCTTGGGTCGTCCCTTCTTCATGTTCCCGCACATCAAAGTCGGCGATTCTCATAGAAACCTGAAAACCTATTTGAAATATTTAGCCAACTATTTCTATTACCGTTTAGGTGTCGAAGTAAGTGCACAAATAACCAATATAACCAAATTCATTATTAATACAATTTACAGATTTCCTTGATTGGAATCGTTGCAACTATCGGATTTCGAATGGACATGTACGCATTGATGTACGCAATTTGGCTGTGCATTCTGTTCTCTCTCAACAGAACTACAATGGCCAAAGTGTGGAACGTCTTTTTAATATTTATAGCATTCGTTATTTCCATTCAGTACATTATGGTCATCGGATTACCTCCCAGTCTGTGTATAAGTAAGTTCAAATATCAGAAAAGAAGTTGATCAGACGTTTATAAATCATTTTTTCAAAGGTTTCCCTTGGGATTCTTCTGAATTCTTGCGAAGGCTTCAGGAGTGGGCGTATCTAATGTCAGCAACGACTCCGCCTCCTGCCAAGAAGATTATGTGCGACTTTATCTTATTACTTCTCGTGTCCAGACAAGCTTTGGTCTTCAGAATCGAACGGAGGTACGGAGATGATTATACTGGTGGTTCTAACGATAGTATAGTTCATAACGCCGAAGACCAGAATTTCACCATTCCGATTCCGGACTTTGTAACTTACAGCCGGTAAGTTTTGAAGAACTACGAAATGTGCATATGTTAAATTACATTTATTTCAGAACGTATTTGGACATATTAAAGAAAGCTGTATTCCTTCCCTTCATGTGGATTACTTTGGCCATCGTCTTCTTAGCCGGAACTAACCGAGTTAACTTGTTCTCGATCGGATATCTTCTCGGGTCGTTCTACTTCCTCTGGCAAGGATCCGACATCTATTTAAGACAAATACCGAGAATTATCCAGAAGTATATGCATTAATATTCATTTTGATCGAAATATTAATACTTTATATTATAGATGGAACGTGTTGATTTCGTACAACGTAGCTGTTATTACAGTGAAGGCATTGCTGCAGTTAATTGGATGTATCTTTATAGAATATCTTGAAGCTGATTGTTGCTGGTTGATTCAACTTTTGGGAATTAGCTGCGTGCGAAAGTTCAAAATACCTGGAACCAACGGGGCTTTTGATGGAAATGATTGTACAGTCCCACCAGAATACATCGGTTTAGCTTGGGATGGAGCATGTTTTGCCTGTTTGGTATTTCAAAAAAGACTCTTCCAAAGTTACAGCTTCTTCCACATAATCAACGATAACAAGGCGTCAGCAATTTTGGCAACGAGGGGAGCAGAGTTGATCGAAGAGTTGAGGCAGAAGCGGATGGTCGAGCAAGAGGAAGAGGAGAAGAAAATCATTGAGAAGATCAAGATGAAAATGGATAAGATCAAGGCCAATCAACAGAAGATTTTAGGGCCAAACTATCAAGATTCTGAAAACCATTATGTCGGTAAGTTTCGGTTTGTTTTTATTATATGAATTTGACTATTATTTTTATTAATCCAAAACAATAATTGGAATTGTTGAATAAACTTGTTACCCCAAATTGCGTCAGATCGTCCTCCGTTAGCTCATTGCACCTCAATGTCTTCGTATACCTCGGCGACGTCGGCAACAACTCCGGCCGGATACCACACCCCCATCGAAGAAGAGGAGGAGCAAGACGGAGATCCCGCCCCCTTGACTCCTGCCGCCGGTTCTTCCTTGATCCAACCCAACGCACCTTCTCCGTTCTCCGCTATAAATTCGCTCGAGGGTTACTTGGAACCTCAGAGGATGTCGTTCAGTTCACCTCCGAACTCCGAGCTCAATCCCAGACCTCCGTCACCCGACGAAAGTTTCCCCGTGTTCTCCCCGCCCCCTTACGACGACGCCCCGCCCTACGCAGAGGCCGTTAGCGACGAACAAACGACTGTGATCCAGCGTCAGCACAGTTTGGGCCCTCATTGGATGGCCGGAAGCTTGGTCACGCCCCGACAAAGCGTCATCTCATACTCCTCCCGCTCTCCGATGAGTCATCACACATGTAATTCCCTTCAAATTATCTAGAGTGTGATCGAAAAGCCGTACATACTTGCTTGAAAATGTACATAGACTACACACACTCTTGTCTCCACCACCTTCTTCTGTTCTATTTTATGTGTACAAACATTATTATTATTATTCGTTTAGTTCTTTATTTATTATTTGGTTCCGTTTCTTTTTATATTTTTGCTTATAGATTCAATTTTTCCTAAATCTAATAGGCCCATGTACAGAAGGAAGGAGCCCAAGCATTATAAAGCCGGTAATTTTTTTTTTCATGTTTCAATTTCATAAATTCAAAACGAAATGAACATTTTAAATTTTGAAAGAAATGTGTAAATATAATGTAAATACTGATTGACAAAAGCATGAATTATAAATATAATAAAAAAAACAGCTTTGCATGATCAACTTATACTGAAAAAGGATATATTTAATCGAAATTAAATTACTTTGTGTGTAGCCATTCGTTCCGGAGATTATTACATGTTCGATGATTTGGATAATGAAGAGCTGGATTTGATCGAAGATAACGTTCCAATTGATGAGGACGACGACGAAATTAAGGCGAGAAGGCGGAGCAAAAAGTTCACACTGGGCGAGGTAAGTTCAGAATCGACAACCATTTTTTGTAATTACTCAAAGTACTTATCGTGTTTTGGAGATGATAGAGAGCGTTTGTTAAATTTACTAACATTTCTAGTTGCTAAGTGCGACATTGAAGACGGACGTAGGTACGGCGATTAGGTTAGAAGGCGGAGGCGTGGGCGTGGGCGGCGCTAAGAGAAGGGTCAGCCTACCGCCCCAAAAAAGAGACACGGTCGACTCGCAATTTTCCGCGCCACTCTCAGCGCCACCTGCCGTGAGTTTCCGCAAGGAAAATGTTCAGGTTTTTCTTTTCCGAACAAATGCACACTATATAAAACACGACTTTCTGTTACGTCACATTATCACATCTATGTTTTCAGCCATAATTATTTTGTTTTACACCGTAATTAACATGTCTCCGCAGGCTACTTTCTTTTTTCATACAATTACGGAACATTTTGCATGGTATCTAAGCCAACTTTATTTTTTTTTATACTTTTCTAAACATAGATATCAAATGATCAAAATGCATGTTCACTGTTTATTTATTTACTATTATTATTTACTAGTTGCAGTTTCTTTGAAAATTAAAAAAAAATATTATTTTTAACTTTTATAACTATTAGTAGTAGTTGTCCAATTTTTGTGCATTTTTATTTCTTTAGATATTTGCTATTATTTTTTTCACAACAGAGATTTAAGTCAAATCTTTTGAATTAGCCTACAACTAATAGTTTGTCTTTGTTTACACTGCTTGAGCAAGTTTAAATAATGCTTATGATCAATTTAATGGGTTTTCAAAGAACTTTCCTAAATTGTGCAACTGTAATGTAATGTTTTAGGTTCACGTTAAGGATGAAGACGACGAAGATGAACCTCAACCAAGTACGAGTAGGGAAACGCAAAAAGATGCGGAAAGCAAAAGTAAGAATCTAATTCAATTATTGTAACTTCTTATTTAATTATTTTCAATTCATAGAAAGCAACGTCCACAAGTATCAGAAAATACTCGACTACGTTTTGTTCGTGTTTGCGTTCATCGAAAGTTTCATGCTCAGCGCCATAACGTATCTGAATAAGTACACCAAGGATTACAGATACGTACTTAAAGTATTGAGCAGAGAAAAGAAAATATTGAAGGTAAAAAAATAAATCTTTACAAATAATTTAAAGATATATTTTCGTTTTGATATTTTCTTAGGAGTCGACTGAATACAATGTGGGAATACGATTGAGTCCGAACTACATTTGGCAGCCTGCTAGCACTCATAAGGCTCTCCTCATGAAATCCGAGTAAGTTCTTATTTACCAATTTTATTGGTTCATCTTTGATTAGAGCAGAATTAGCAAATTAGATGTATGTCTTTCTTTTCCACGTGTAACTAGCGACGAGTCGTACTTAGTGACTCCTTCGGTGGGGACTTGTAGTCCCTCAGACTCTTACAGGGTTTCTTTTTGTGGACCCATACGTGAAAGGTGTGAATTTACTTAAAAAAAAAACTACAATTTCTAATCTTCTTTTCTGAACGCACCCTTTCAATTTTATTACAAAATATACAATTCACTTGATTCATTACAAAAAATAATCTCCAAATTTCTAAAGAGTGACTGAAAATGTTAATTTATTCTTAACTACCCTACAGAAAAGCAAAACATTTTATTACAAAACATAGAATAGTTAATGGACAAATTAGAAAATTTTCAGTTTATAAACATTTTCACTCACTTTTTTTCAAATAAATTTGAATTAACAGTTTCTTGCAATTTTTTAAGAAATACGTTCACAATAAGCACACTATTTTGTCTCGAAACTTATATTTTTGAAAACAAATTTCTTCGAATTTAAAGTTGAAACCATTACAAGAATATATATTTTTTGCGTAGTATAGATTTTAGTAGCTTGAATCAGGGTAACTTGTAACATCAAATTTGTGAAAACGTTCAAGCGAAATAAGTAATCAGACAAATGAACTATTTTATTATTGATTAAGGAAATATATGTTGTTAAATTATAGTCACAAATCTTTAAATTTGATAATTACTGAAGTTGTAATTGAACATTTTCACAAAGTATAGTATTATTATTTTTACTGCATGTCTATTTTTTTACTGTAATTTTAGTTTTGATGAGATTATGTACTTGATTTGTCGAGTACCGTCCCGAAGTATGTTGTTATATTAGTTAGTAGTTTGTTCTTCGTGTGGTTTGTGTATTTAGGATGCCGGACACGCTTAGCAGTAGCATCAAGAAGACCGCGGATAGCGACGAGTCTGACACTAAACCCATTGGGACATCGCCCCTGCCCTACTCAGCAGAGCGGGACAGGTACTAAACAAAGAACAAGGGAATCAATAACATTAACAAATTAACCGATCATCATCATTTCACTGAAATAACTCGTTGAAACGCATGTCTAGAACGTGCAGATCACCTAACTTAATTTAATACTAGATTAGCAGAAGTTAGAAGAACTTGTTCTTATAGCTTCAACACTAAATCAAAGGAATATCGATCCAATGAAAACAATTGATGATATTCAAGTTTTCATTTGGTTGATACCTGATTTCACGATGTTGTTGCATACACGAGTGATGAGATTCAAATGCTTTTGGTAACATGAGGTTTTGCTTTATTCTCGAATGCACGAAGTAAAAGAAAAGATTTAACAATTGTTTTGGGGATAGTTAATAGATTCGTTGTAGTTTAGTGGGCTATTGTTCTGTGTGTTTGGCTGTAGGCGCAAGGCAAGTGTTTACACCATCCCAGAGATTCGAATCCTGGCACCGAGCATGGAAAGGGGGCTCGACTCGCCCGGAAGGTAACGAAACCCAAAAAGAACTAAAACATGCATGCTTTTCATCCGCTTTATTAATCTGTACGTGAGATGAGAGAGATAGGAGGAGGAGGATGCGCACCGTTTTCGATCGTTTATTTTTGTTCGTGTTGTCTTATTTTTATGTTGCTTTCGCAGCAAATCGACTGGAAATGAGATCTACGAGTACGACACCGGCGAGATGTCTTCCTACGATCAGCCGACCATCCTGCGATTGATCCTCGCCGTTTGGTACATCATCCTGAGTCACTCCGATCTCTTCTGCTACTTCATCATTTTCCTCAACCAGATCAAGAACGCCACGTTCATGTCGTTGCCGTTACCGTTGATGGTCTTCTTCTGGGGCACGTTGACAGTTCCTAGACCTTCGAAAACCTTCTGGGTCACCATCATTGCTTACACTCAGGTAAACACATTACTCAGGAATATATCAGGAAATATAGTTTAACTTTGATTCATTTCACAGATCATCGTTGTCATCAAGTGCGTTTTCCAATTCGATATTCTACCTTGGACCAGCAAAGATTACTCTTCCAACATCAATTCTGCCAGTTTGATTGGCATCGAGAGGAAGAAAGATTACGCTGTTTGGGATTTACTTTTATTGCTTGTAGTCTACTTCCATAGGTATGTATGCTTTTTATAAAATATGGTCATGAAATGATCCAAATCCATCTAAAACAAATTCCTGATTTTTCAAGACTTTCCTTTCGCTATTAATTTTTATTTTTATTAAGGTATATGCTCAAATGTTTGGGTCTTTGGAAAACGACCTTCGTATCAATAGCGGCATTAGCCGATGGAGAATACAGCGTCGAAGATGGTGAATTAGTTCCAACGTCATCTGATCAAACTTTGCAGTAAGTCTTTCTTTCGATAAGCATTTAACAAAGACATAAATTATACGTTATGGTTGTAGACATTCAGTCTCCAAGAGAAAGGAAAGCGATTTGGAGCAATTGGTCGACGATTCCGAAACAGAGGAAAGGGTGGAACTGCGATCGATCGAACTCTCGCCTCAAGAAATGTGGCCGGCGTCTCTACCCATGGTGTAAGTCTACAATAATTCACGATATCATTTTAAATAAAATTACAAAATAGATATTACTCTAGAATGACAAAGTACGTGGATTCGATGAAGCATTTCTTTCAACAACTCTTCGATCCTGGATCACGTGTAGCCACCGATGTGTACTCTTACATGTTCCTCTGCGATTTCTTCAATTTCTTCGTTATCTTAATTGGTTATTCTTCATTCGGGGTAATTAAATTTACATAGATTAGTTACAAATATTTTAATATTGAATCCGTAGACGCAACAAGGAGATGGAGGAGTATCTTCGTATATAGAAGATAACAGAGTACCAGTGCTTTTCCTTCTAATGTTGATATTGCAGTTCTTGATTATCATAGTGGATCGAGCGATTTTCTTACGCAAAAACATCTTCGCCAAAATCGTGTTCCAGTTCTTGCAAATACTTATACTGCACATTTGGCTTTTCGTCATTTTCCCAGTAATTACAGAAAGGTAATTTCACACATTCAATTAGAAATACTCATTGATTTAATTGTGTTAATTTATAGGAAAATCAATTTAGTCATCCCTCCTCAGATGTATTACATGGTGAAATGCTTCTACCTGCTTCTCTCGGCATACCAAATCCGCTCCGGTTATCCATCCAGAATTTTAGGAAATTTCTTGTGCAAAGGATACAACTACGCGAACATGTTCTTGTTCAAAGGCTTCATGCTTATACCATTCCTGTTCGAGCTACGAACAGTCATGGATTGGATGTGGACGGACACTTCGATGACGGTTTTTGATTTCATCAAGATGGAAGATATTTTCGCTCACATCTTCCAATTGAAGGTTCGATCCAATATGTTAACATTTAACTCGATAATCATCATTGTTTCTTATAGTGTACAAGGCATATTGAAAGCGAATATCCACAACCGCGCGGCGAAAAGAAGAAACCGTTAATCAAATACTTTATGGGCGGTGGTCTCCTGGTCATCATCATCGGCATCATTTGGTTCCCACTGGTCTTCTTCTCGCTAGGAAACGCTGTAGGAGAACCTAATCCACCGTACGACGTGACCGTTGACCTGAAATTAGGACCTTACGAATCCCTGTACCGGATGACCGCTCAAACCAACAACATCTACAAGTTCAAAGAAAACGATTTCCACGTGTTCCAGCAACTGTTCACCAAGCACAAAGGGGCGCAAACGTTTTTATCCAATTACGAGTATTCAGATTTGGCAGCCGTTAAATTGAGCGGAGATTCCGCTACGGTTTGGAGCATCTCGCCGCCGGATCACGATCGACTCGTCGAAGAAGTTGAATCAAGTAAAACCAATTTCCTTATTATTAATATTAACAGTAATAATGACTATTTTTACGTGCAGATAACACCTTGACTGTGCATTTGACTTACCATATATCGCACAAGTCGAACTCGAAGGAGGACCCAGGCATCATGAGGGATGAAATCAAGCTCGAAATCCCTGCGTTCGAGGACAACAAGACAAATCCGATCAGACAGAATCTACTGAACATGCTCAAAAAGAACAAAAGCGAGCCGGTTCTATTAACTTACATCATGCCGAAGTTCGTGAAGGTGACCAGTCGAGCAACGGTTCAAGTACTAAACCAGTTCATGCTGAAAGTGCAAGACGAGAAGGACACGAAGTTGAGGAACATCACGCTGATGTTGGAGAGCGATCCGAACTCCGATAAGGTTTGGTGGAATATCCTTGAGCAGGTCGACGATCAAAATTATAAGCACATCCTGCAAAACCTCCCGTACGCGGACAAAAACAGTTTCATCATCTACACGTTCAACGATAAGATATTCCCATCGACTCTGAGCATAATAACTGGAGGAGGGTGAGTTTTTTTTTACAAATAGTAAATTTAATTATGACTTACACATATTATTGTTACAGTATAATCGGTTTATATACCACTCTTGTATTCGTGGCGTCGCGTCTGTTGCGCGGATTCTTCTCGGAGATCTGCTTCAAGATCATGTTCGATGATATGCCGTACGTGGACAGAGTCCTGCAACTCTGCCTGGACATCTATTTGGTGCGCGAGGCCAGAGAGTTCTGCTTGGAAGAAGACCTATTTGCCAAACTGGTCTTCCTCTACAGATCACCTGAAACACTTATCAAATGGACTAGACCCAAAGAGGAGCTCGACGATGAGGATGATCCTGAAGGCGACGATAACCAATGATCGTTGCGTCGCGTTGTTTCGATTAGCTTCAAACGTGAAAGCTAAAACGCAAAAAAGATCTATATATTTTTGTTAATTCATAGATACTTACTTTTTAAAGAAGAAAGAGAAAAAACAAACAAGAAAAACATGCTTTTTAAATAATTTCTATTTATGTAGCTTCAAATTCGTTCAAGCTTCGTATTCTGTTTTTTATCCATTATTTGATGTATACATTTTATTGCGCTCTGACGAAATACTAAAAAAAATATCACAGAGCCTCTCGTGCACTTCTCTTCCTAGTCGGTATAATTATGTGTATAAGATGATAAAAAGAAATATGATGAACTCAGGTTTGAATCTTTATTTTTGTGCAAACAATTTTATATGTTACTTTTTTAAATATATTTCTGTTTTTAATAATACCTTTTTTTTCTATCCTTATTCCATCCTAAATAAGTTCAGAATTCATTGACAGTATTATAAAAGAAAAAACAGTGATTTAGTGTGTAATTTTTCTAACTTTTCAATGTGATTCTTATATAACTAAATCTTAATACACAATCCTAACACCTAAAGGATTTATTATAATGAATGGATTTTAGGTAATGAATGAAACAAAGGATAACAATATTGAAAACACTATGTTTTTTATTTAATTAAGTTTACAACAAGATCTTACAATCTGGCTGAGTTAGGATTTATTACAATTAACACTCGGTCAAGTGATAAAAAGTTCTCAACTTTTTTTTCCAGAAAACAAACATCTACAGCTTTTTTTTTGTAATAAATGAAAACTTATTTCTAGACCACCCGATATTTATACATGTTATACAAAATAAGCCACTCTTGTAATTCATTATAATTATATACAATTATAATACTTCGTTGCGTTGTTCTCATGTTGGACATGGCAAACACTTTACAATGATTAAACGATTGTCCAATTATGACTATTGACAGACAAAGGTAAAATAAAGAACGATGAACAACTTAACGTTAGTTATACGTAAAATATTTGGACATACAAGCATATTGTGATTATGTAATCACTAAAGAAACGAAATAAATGTTTAATATTTTTATTGATAATATCAATGTACAATTGAGAAATATTGTTATTGAAAATAATTGAAATTTGGGAAATGAAATATGATATTTTTGACAAGAGTTTTAGACAATTCTATTGTAAACATAGTTTAAAAATATGTCCAGAAGCAGAGGAATAAAAGAAAAGAGGAATCAAGATTACGCCATATAAATATAAAATTATAAATATAACAATATCGCTATAAAATGTATTTATATATAATATACTTTATGTTTGTTTAAATAATAAAGTTAATTCAGCTTACAGGCAATAGAAATCAAAATTTGTCACATTTGATTAAACTAATAATAATAATATTTATAGAGAAATATATATTATATCACTAATCACACTAGTTTATGTGCCTAAATATCAAAAGTAGGAACCCCACATTAAGAACACTTTTGATATATTTCTTCATATTGTAAAATGACAATTTTAATCCAAATCCATGTATTATATAATATATTGTGTATAAAATAATCTGTTATATAAATATACTATGATCATTGCACAAAATAAATATTGATAAGTTCACATCAATTTGTTTTGTTTTTAAAGTTGTAAACTATTTTAGTGTGGCTCCAGACATTTTAATAGAAATTAATAACTTATATGCAAGTTTCCAAATAAAACTCGTTTCACTTACACTAAGATTATAACCAATCCAATACGACTTTTCTTTTAACGTTTAGCGTACTAATGCATCATTAGATGACTATTCTTCATTGGTTCCAGCCCCATTCCCATCACCATCGGCGGCGCGTGCATCTGCCCTCCAACATGATTTTGATTTGTACTAATCAAGTTCCCGCTTCCGTCTTGTGGATGCCGGTGCTTCACGTGCGACATAAGATTACCCTTGCTATGAAATAATTTAAAACAGATATTGCACACGAACGGTTTCTCCTTCGTATGCGTCCTTTTGTGTATGATCAAGTTGTTGTTGGTTGCAAACTGTTTATCACAGAACTCGCATTTGAATGGTTTTATGTCTTTGTGGATCATACTGTGTGTGATCAGGTTGCCCTTCGTCGTGAACCGTTTCGGGCAGACGTCACAACCGAAGGGCTTTTCATTGTTGTGCGAACGCATGTGCACCATCAGGTTGCCCTTGGTTGTGAAGCCTTTGCTGCAGAGCTCGCAAGTGAACGGCTTCAAATTGGAATGAGAAATCATGTGTGTGTTGAGGTTGCCCTTGGCTGTGAATGACTTGCCGCACACATTGCACACATAGGGTTTCTCCAATGTGTGCGTCCTGGTGTGTACAATTAAATTACCTTTCGTGCTGAAGCCCTTTGAGCAGTACTCGCAATGGAACTTTATCTGCTGAACCACCTCCTTCTTGGGTACAGCCAGTACAGGTGGTGGTGGACTCGGGTAGTCCACCTTCAGGTTTATCTGGAGGTAGTCATTGTAGAAGTTGTGCATCGACTCTTCATGCTCATTTTTTATCATCGGTGGCAACAGACCCTGGTTATTGTTTTCCATTTTATATGCATTCAACATTTATAGCATAGATCATGTCTTCTTTTATCTTAAAAATGTGCTAATTAACAAAGCAAACAATAAGCATAACACACATAACCTACTAGTTGATGTCTGTGCTAGAGAATCTTCAACATTTTATCGCTGCTTTCCTTTGCTTTCATTTACTGGCTAACTCAGGAGACGAAACATATTATTCCTACAGGGTTTTGGTTTAATTGCTTTTTAACATTGATTTCACATTTTGTAAATTGCCCTTATGACATTTCAGCCATAATAGCTGTGAAGTTAACTCCACTTATTCAGAAACTTTGGTTGCATAGTCCATTTTTCATGAACATTTCTTAGCTCATTCGTTCAGTTCCAAACATCTCAATTAAGAACGTCAATTTACGTAAGCATTTTACATAATTATATAAGATTCATCATAAAAATAAGAAAACAATAATACATTTCTATATTTCATGCCAACCTCTTAAATTTTACCTGAAAATGCAGTTTAGCAAACACAAAACACAGTCAATTAATATTTTATACATTTCAGCCGTTAGATTCTGAATATATTATTTAAAACCTTCCATTGTCTTCACAGTTTTTTTATACTTTTCCTGAGAGATTATTCAAATTTATGAAATGGAAATTTACTAGTCACAAATGCCTATTTGGAGAATATAAATTATATCAAAATTGCTACGTTCATTTATTATTTATTTTACTAACAGCTTTACGCAAATACATGGGATTAAAAATATAGAAAAGTATTTGAATTCGAGTATTTTTGTTACTAGTATTATTACTATCACAAATCAGATACATTCGTATCGTAAATCAATTTCCGATAACAAATTATCAGTTAGTCGATATAAATCATAATTAATTTGATCATCTATACTAGGTTCCCATTCCAGCTGCATCCAGTTAGACTACATAGTAGGGCGGGATATACGCTGTTAAAAGAACTGAACGAAATGAGGAACTTACTGTTGATTTCATCGTCCCGTGTGATCGGATTTAAATATCTGGAAGTCGCCCAAGATGAAATCAAAAATGTACTGTCCTTGTAAGTCTACCATTTCGAATTTTGTATATTTATCACCTATTTATAGGTTATGTTCTTTCGCTGTTTTCTTTTAAAAGTAAAATAAATTATTGTAGGATAGTACGACCATTTTAAAGCTATGAAAGTGGACACATCGAATTGTTCAATGTATACTAACTGCAAATTTATAATGTATAGTGTATAAAAAAAACAATAGGGAATGGTTATTTTGTATATGCAACCCTACAAACATATATCAGTGTTTTCAAATTTTAAAAAAGTTGCGCTTTGTTTCAGTAACAGTGTTTCGACTGTTTTGTTCATACCATATGCCCTGAAGGATTACGATGCTTATTTGAATACCGTGACGCAACCGTTTACCGATTTCGGTAGATATTTTCAGCGTTTTGTCTATAAAAATTGTATTAATTTATTGTTGTTTGCGCAGGCTATGATATAGAAGGAATTCACGAGCATGAGGATCCAGTTGAAGCCGTGAACAAGGCTGAAGCTATATTCATTGGCGGTGGCAATACATTCCTACTCTTGAAGACGCTTTACGAGAAGAATTTGCTTGGGGCGATCAGGAAAAGGGTTTTGGAGAACGGCATTCCATATATCGGTTCATCGGCTGGTACCAATGTAGCCACTTGCAGTATTAATACAACCAACGATATGCCCATCGTCTATCCACCTTCGTTTAAATCTTTGAACTTGGTTCCGTTCAACATCAATCCGCATTACATAGAGAGCCCTTACAAGGCTGTCCATAAGGGCGAAACCAGGGATCAGAGGATTGCAGAATTTCTGCAAATGGAAGAGGCCGGACCTGTTTTGGGGTTGCGCGAAGGCTGCATGCTAAGAGTGACAGGTGACAGGGCCGTTTTGAAGGGCATCAACGATGCTAAACTGTTTCAACCGTAAGTTACTTCAATCATTTGCAAAAATATCGGTATTAATTTTGATGACGTTTCAGAGGAAAGGAACCCAAGATCATCAAAGTCAACGAAGACCTGAGCTTCTTACTTAATAACTAAGACCACCCTATTTAACTTATAATAATTTTATTAATATATAACACTTTTTTTGTTAGAAATAAGACTCTGTAGCTTAAATATAAACAAAAAAATGAACGTAGGTCAGAAATCCCTTTGTATATGAGTTTTTAATGTATACAATAAACATTATTATTTAAAAGTACATTTGATTTTTTTTAAATTGGTATCTGTTCTGAATTACTATTTAAAATTTAGTGTTTAATATCGTATTATGTAATAAATAGTTAATTACAATTTTAGCAAAAGAAAGTGGGCTCGTCCGGGATTTGAACCCGGGACCTCTCGCACCCTAAGCGAAAATCATACCCCTAGACCAACGAGCCAGATATAAGTAAAAACGCTATTTTTTATTTAACAATACAAGTAATTTATACCTCATTTACCCCAAACAACCCCATTTTTAAATTGATTTACTTAATTGCATTATTAAATTGCTCTAAATTTAAACTTATTTTTTTTTGCATCAAAAATTGTCTGAAATTTCTTAAAATCTGCATTTAATTGATTCATCTTACAGTTAGTAGAACTTAGTATAAGTTAATTTAAATTGGTTATTGAAGAAGTTTAATGTAATTATGTGTCAGTGGTTGCATATACCACAGTACATTATATAATTTTATTAGACATACAATTTTGACACAAACTAAATGTATTTTACATTTTTTTCTGTTGAATAATGTTTTTATCAAAAATATTTTAGCTAAATTTAAGTTTTTAAATCTTTTAAGAATATTCTATTACTTTTATAATTTTATAAATAAGTTTAATTTTATTATTATTGTAATAAAGGTTATTATCAGTATTTTTTTTCATATTCTTTTACTTTTCAATAAAAGTAATCATTCATTAATTTATCTAATTATATTTTTATTTTTATTAAATAAAAAACATCATTTATTTTGTATTAATTTATTTAAAATTCAATTATGTTACATGTTCTAAAAAAATATTAATTTCTTTCACATTAATTCACATAATTTGTTTTTAAAAAAAGTAATCATTCCAGTCTGTAGATAAATTTTTCTTTTTCCATACGTTCTTAATGATTTCAGGCGCCGAAACGTCGAACATGTATATTTCTGCAGCTTCTTCGAGTATCTCATCTTCGTTGAATTTTTCATCCATTACGATCTGCAAGTAAGAAAGAAACAAAACGTACATAAATGTGGTGTATCGAATTGCTTAGATTTACTCCTCTAGAAATAAGCTCCTTTTGGCATTTGTACAACTCGTGCAGCAGCAATCCGCGCATTTTACTTGCGCCCACGTCGAGTTTCATCAGAACGTCCAGAACGTATTTCAAGCATTCGCCCTTGATTTGAAAATGCTCGTCCGACAGTTCTGAAAAATAAACGAAACCTAATAGTGATCAATACAATTAGGCTTATTTACCTGCACCTCCTAAAATCCAGATAGTCCTGTACATGAATTCCAATGAGACCTGATTGCATTTCGGTATGATCTTTTCTGATTTGGATCGGAACAGATCGAAGCTTTTCATGTGATCTTCGTCGACGTCGCTGAATCTTTTAGCTAAAACGGACATTATGAAAGCGATTTTACTTTCCTCGACTTGCCGATCGCAAGAGTTGCAGGTCCAGACTCCGTTGAAGATGAGCGGATTTTTGGGTAGAACGAAACCGGAGCAGGATTCGCAGAGCATGGCGCTGAGGTTCGTTCCGAATTCGGTGGGATCATGGCATCTGGGGCATTCGCAAGCAAAGTGTTTGGTTCTCAATAGATGAGTGCGTCTGCTCAAAGTACACCAGAGGATTCTTGAGTATGTGAGGAATATTTCTTCACCTTTCTTGATAGGTTTCGCTGCTTTCAGGATCATGTGATGATCTTCGTCGAAGACGTGCATAACGTTGGGAACGCAAGAATGGTTGAGGAGACTCGAGAGCGGAAAGAGTCCTCTCAAAGTTGGTCCCGTTTTCGGAAGGACTTCGAAGGAGTTGGCGTCCAGAACGGCGCATGTGAGTCGAATCCAATTCTCTTCCTCATCGCATAATTCCAAAAGCATCTTTTTCTTCATGAGATCCACCTCGATTCCGTGCTGCGGTTCCCGGTGCGCCTCCAGCATCGAGATCGATTCCCGATCGGAATCGTCGAGAAACAAACTTCGTATCGGTGCCAAGCATATCATCATTCTATCGGTAACGAAAGACTTTTCAGTTTTCCAAGAGTTTATCTTAGCACATTCCTGAGAATGCTTATCTCCGTCCAAACAGGATGGACACAAGTAAAGGCCACACGACATTGGACAGAGCACGATGTTAGTATCATTGTAACATGAGACGCATGTGTTTTCAGGTATCGCCCTTGGCCCTAAAATCACAGGCGAATCGACGAAAATAATTTCACCTGGTTGGATGTCGCGCGTCGCGTACACTCCTCTTCCGCTGAACCTCGACTTTCCGACTTCCCAGAGTTTCTCATCCTTCCAGATTCCTCTTCTTCTCAGGTGATTTTCAATAATTTTCTCGGTCTCGTGGCACAGTCCATCCATTATTTGATTTTTTGGTGTGTTCTGGCACTCGGTACTGATACTAATTTAGATTGACGTGACGGGCGTTAATTGCAGTTCGTGTGCGCACCAACCAAAACAAAATTAAATTTGACGAAAAGTGTTCGGCTTTGGTACAGTTTTCGTACACCAACCTCGACTCCTTCGCGGAGTGCGTGAACGTAATATTTTGCCGTAATATTTTACCTATTTATTTTCAGCTTTTCCATCCACTAGCGTCGCACGCATCATCAACAGCGAATACATTTTGGTTACATGCTTATATTTACATTTTCCGTTGTTTTCGTTTCCATCGTGCATCTAAATACTCTTTCGTTTACGCAGGATTCATCTTTTTTTTTTCAAATCCTGTAAATATTTTCATGCCGCCTCCGCAATATCTTGAAACTATATTAAGATTGGGTCAGTTTTCTTTTTATATGAAACTAACTAAAATTTGCATCACTTTTTTTAAATTAAATAAAAAACATTTCATCTGCTATTAAATTTGTTCATAAATAAATTAACTCATTTGTTTAGTATGTAAATGTAAAGAATTTGTACACAATAAATAAAAAATTATGAAATTTGTTCTTCTTTGTTGTTCTTTACATGCTTATATTTACATTTTCCGTTGTTTTCGTTTCCATCGTGCATCTAAATACTCTTTCGTTTACGCAGGATTCATCTTTTTTTTTTCAAATCCTGTAAATATTTTCATACCGCCTCCGCAATATCTTGAAACTATATTAAGATTGGGTCAGTTTTCTTTTTATATGAAACTAACTAAAATTTGCATCACTTTTTTAAAATTAAATACAAAACATTTCATCTGCAATTAAATTTGTTCATAAATAAATTATCTCATTTGTTTAGTATGTAAATGTAAAGAATTTGTACACAAAAAATAAAAAAATTATGAAATTTGTTCTTCTTTGTTGTTCTTTGTAATAACATACTTAGTTTTATATTTTGACTTTGATGATAGAATTAGTTAGCATTATTTCATATAGAATATTTTTGTACTTGATTAAGTTTTCTACTTTGTAGTATTTGCTGTATTAGTTTGCATCTACTGTGCAAAAATAGTGCTGTTTATTTCCGTCAATCAACATTATCTATTAGATGTTTGTTTTTATTATTAATTAAGAATAATATTAAAAATTTTATTTTGTATATTATATAATATTTTATCTACTCTTTAATTACTATTTTTTTCAATATAATTAAAATAAACTATTGCTTTTGTTTTAAATAATTAGTAAATTGAATTAATTTATTTTGTTTGATAAATGTATTTTTGTAGTAAACTTTTTCTGATTTGTAATTTTATCTATTTTATTCCTCTTTGTTTTTTATTAAGAACCGAAATTTTCTCACAATCCTATACTTTTCTTCTATTTTTATTAATCATTTAAGTTTCAGTTGAATTTATGAAAACTATTACTTTTTTTTGGTATAAATTGAATCAATTTGCAAATGTTTGTTTGATTATTGTTTGTATATGTCTTTATTTTCTTCAGTATAACCAAAACATGAAACAGTGAAAACCAAAAAAAAAACTTATATTTCCACAACTGTATTTTTTTCTCATTATTTTGGACTACTTGTTAAGTTTATGCATCATTAAAATTGTAAATTTCCTTTGAAATGAAGAAACTGTATGTACATAAATTAATTTGTAAAATATCTTTAATTATTGTTTCGTAACTCTTTGAATTTTATTCAGTTGTACTCATTGTATTTGTGTTGTAAGATATTTTCCATAAATAATTGTGTGGATCATTTGAAATGATTTAAAAGTGTTTGGTTTTCTAATATCTCTGTGTTTTTTTTGTCCTTGAATGGGAACTTTTGCGTCAGTGTTTCTAAAAACATTTCTTGTTTGCTTTTTTCATCTTCAATATTATGTATTATAGCGTTTTTATTTTGAAGCAGAAGTATTAAAAATGAAATAATTTCTGGATTTTCTTTCTAATTAACTTGTACTTATTTTCAATATTTTTGTTTATCATTTACCTTTTCATATTGTAAATTTCATTGGAATTAAAAGAAAACTACTTTTTTTAATGATTTTTAAATTTAATTAATTTGTAAATTATGTTGAATTATTGATTAATTGTTAATTGGTCTTTGTTATTTATTTTTTTATTGTAATTTTATAAACAAAATTTAAAGTACAATATTACGTATTGTATTTTCTTTCTAATTAACTTATACTTATTGCATTTCAATATATTTGTTTATCATTTATCTTTTTATATTGTGGATTTCATGTGAATTGAATGAAAACTTTACTTAGTTAATTAATTTAAAAATTTTATTAAATTTACAAGTTTCTATTCTTTATTCCGCTTTTGAATTCAAACCAGATTTTTGTTATGTAACTTCATAAAAAATATATCAGTTTTAAAGTACAGCATTCAGAATTGTAATATTCTTTTAATTTTCTTCTTAACTAGAATTTATTGGTTTTTGATATCAGCATTTATTATTTACCTTTTTTGAATTGTGAATTTTACTTAAATTAGAAGAAAACTTTCTTTTTACTAAATTTTATTAAATCATTGATTATTTATAGATTCTAACTATAGTTTAGTAATTTATATATATCTTTTGTATTTTGATTTCAAATTTAACTTTTTCGATTGTTGATTTTTCTTGAGTTACAATTCCTATTTTTATTCACAAATTAGTAACTGAGACTAAAATACTTTGTTAAATGAAATAATTGACTATAAAAAAGTTATTTTCGTTATTTTTATAGCATTAACCCCTTTAACACGTACATGCATATAATTGATATCAGTGAAAGCAGCAACAGTAGCAGCAGTTCAAAGTCTCATGTTAAAACGTTTAATGAATGCCTTCCTCCTGCGTTTGCTTTATTTGTAATGTCGCTCGATGCGGAGGATTCCATCGCAGACGCGGTGGAAGTGTCCAATTAGGATTTGGAAATGCAACAAAAGGTTTCTCGTTGGAACTCTTTGACTATTATTAGGGACGTCGATGCTCGTCCGACAAATGATGATCAAGAGGAGAACGAGGATGAGAATGAGGAGTGGAGGGAGGTGGTCGTTCAATTCCCTTTATGTAATAATACGAAACGAAAAGGACAAAAGTATATAAAAAAAAGGAGGAGAAAATAAGAACTATATGAGAATGAGCGGAATATAACGTAAGAGGAGCGACGTGGAACGGGAGAGAACGTATCTTTTGTGACCGTTTTTCTCTGTGTGTTTGTGTGGATGTGAGTGTGTTCTCTCTGTCTCTCTCTCGGTGATGATTGCATGTCCCGCATGTATTTTTTCTCGCTGTTGGTTGTCTCCTCTGCACGGTCGACCCCTACACTTCACCAATTTAGCTTCGTTAAAGCCAATTGAACCAAATGGCTCTTTAATTGTCTCAATTGCTACATCCCAACAAGTGTTCGTCACAAATGATACTACCGACATTCTTACATACGTGTGCACATGTATACGTTTATAATATTAGAAGCAAAAAAAATATTGCAAAAGCAACAAACGAGAGAAACAAAACTTTGATGTATACCGACACAAGAATATTTTAAAATTCAATGTTCAACTTTTTGTCCGGAAAATTCGTGCCAATTTTTCACAAAACTTAACATTTTTATATATAACATATAATTTTTTAATTATGTATCCACCATCAAAAATCTATAAACCTTTCTTCATCTTTCACGCAACTTAAACAATACATTCTACTAGAATTTATTAGATTTTTCGTCCAAAAATACTTCTTCAGGTGGTTTTTTATGTCGACTAAAAGTTACTCGTTCCTGCAGTTAACGGAATTTTGCAAAGATCCAATCTTTTGTTGAGTAGTAAAAGAAATATAATGGTTGATATTGTCGTGATTTTTATCCATTAAAATGCGCAAATCTCATATATCTTCACGGTTTATGTAGCAAGCTTCAAAAACGTTTGTTAATAGTTGTTTTTGATATTTTTAATATCTCTGCTCATTCACGTGTCCCACTACACGGTTATTCTCGATCCATGTCTTGATTTCATCATTATTACTAGCAAAACTTTAAAGCTGAAATCATCAGCTCTAAATTTAGATAATTATGTTCCTAAAGTTCATTTATATAAAGCAACTTCTCCGTAAGCAGAATATATCTTAATTATTGCTTTAGTGGCATTTTTGGCTTTCCAGTAATAGAAAATTATAAAAGTCTAAAATGCACTTTGTTTTCTTTCATCTTCATGATTGTGCTAAATGTATCAGTTTCATTTGATCCAAACCAAACATTTTTCTAAAAACGGTTGAAATCTCACCTTTTACAATATATACACAAGTTCATTGTTATTAAGAACCGAAAAGTTCAGCCTTTCAAAATATTTCATGTTTTCAATAAAATTGAAGATCACAATCATTGCAATATGGATTTTTTGTTTTTTTCAAATACAATAATTTCAATAAAATGGAAACATAAAGAAATGTATTTTTGTATTCTAATTATTAATTCTAATTCATCAAATTTTGATATACAAATTTGAAATAATTACTTAGCAATTTCTATTAAAATTAGAAAGACAAAGAAATGCATTTTCAATTATTTCTTTATACAAAATTGCAAATAAATGCATTGTCCTGGTGGAATAGGTTTGATTTCATTCTAATTCGATTTAATCTTATAACAATTTATGCTTTTTTTATTGGATTCTTTCTCATAAAACTGCAACCATAATAATTTCAAAAGTTCAAGCATTTATTCTATTGTTTGTAGATTTTTTTAGTCTCTGACATCAGTGATATCATTGTTTCGTAACTTTTAGATTACGAAACAATGTTTAATTTCACAAAAGAATGTCATAGAAATTTTTTTTTGTTCAATTGTCAAAAAACCTACTGGTTAGAGAAGATATTTATTGCAATCTTCTTAATACTTATTCTTTATAATTTCTTGATCTTTCCATAGGATTATTTACATAAATGTTATTTTATATATTTTGTGATTTCACTGTCAGATTATAAAACAATTACAAAATCAATACTTTAACGAACAATTGTTATTAGAATTTGTTTTTGTTCAATAGTAAAAAAAAAGTATTTTTGGTTTCTTTGAATTGTTTTTAGTCAATGTTTATTTGCTATTACCTTTTACTTTCTTTACAGTTGCTTCATCAACTACTGCTTTTCTACTTCAATATTGAATGTGTGATCTTTTTTTTGCTTCTATTTTCTATTATTTCATTGTTTCGTCACTGTCGAATTTTCTTATTTCTCAATTGTCAAAATATGTTTATTCGTTCCTTTGACTTTACTAATGGTTTCTTGTACAATAACTACAATAGATCACTTAATGTGATTTCATTATTCCGCAACTGTCAAATTACGAAAAAATAACAAATTCTAGACGCAAAATGTCATTGGAATTGGTCTGAGGAGATACTCTTTGCCATCTTCTTAACCAGTGTTCATTAATTACAATTTCTTGGACTTTCCTAACGGTTTCTTCTCCATCAATAACTGCTTTTTGATTACACTTGAACGTTGTGTGCATATTTCATGTTTCTACCAACATTGATTAAATTCAGATATTCAATTTGAAACTATGAGCTCACTCGATTAAGAAGAATAAAACTTGAACGTTATTCTTTCAATAAAGAAATATTTTGACACATTTTGTCATTTTTTAAAATATGTAATAATAAAAAAGAATGCAACATTTAAATGATTAAGTTGAAAGAAATTTATAAATTATTATAAGATTTATTTTACTATTATTACTAGATTTTTTTTATTTGGTCTTAAATTTGAACTCACCACCTTTGTATCGGATTTTGCAATGACCAAACGACTGTTACAATTTTTCAAGGACATGTGCATCTGCAGCGCCATCTATTGGTTACATTTGTTAATTTGATTTAATAATTAAAAGTAGTTAGTACAATCGTTAATACAAACTTAAATGAGAATTTAGAACTACTTTCCTTCAAATTTTATAATTATTTTAATCAATACAAAATAACTCCTTATTAAAATTTCTTTCCACAAACAGTTCAACTATAATACAAAAGTGTGTATTTTATTAATTTTACTACTACCTAGTTATAGTAGTTATACTAATACTAATACTTATGATATTCAGATTCCTTTATTAATTCCATTGTTTTTTGTTATTATTACAAAGTATATATTTTATAATACATTTTTTCATTACTATACAATTTTACTTAACAGAACTAATCATTAACATTAAAGTATACAGTTAAAGTTAAAAAAATATATTTTACTTCAAAATGATTTTACTTCAATTAAAAAATTATGAAATGAATGACTTAATGACTTAATATTGAAAAGAAAAACACAAAGCTCAATTAATTTGAATCGTATGTGCGCGATCTGTTTTAATTTTGTCAATGGAAAGAAAATGAATGAACTTTTCACCGTGAACGACTATAAATAGCAAACGGTCATTCTTTCAGCGAGAGACCAATTACCGGAGGTCAATTTAGATATGAGGGACGCAATTAGTCAACGGCAAAAGAAAAAAGAGAAACAACAACAATAAAAAAAACACACACACAATATATTCTGGTGTATTAGCATAGATTGTATCTTCTGTGTTACGCAATGACCAGCATCATAGGCGGCGGCGGTGACCATATGGACGCACGTTCTTCTCATTAAGCGGTTCTTAATTTTATAGATGGGGAGGCATTCACATCCATCTATGATTTTCATGGTGGTATGAAAATTGCTGAGGGCGAAACGGGGACGGCACGAGCCCCATCTTACGAGACCATTCATTGGAACGACGCCACCCTGATCCATTATTCAGAATAAAAAAATAAACGTACACCAGATATGTTTGTGTGTATAATGCCGCGTAATAATATACAATGGAGGTAGAGAGGAGAGAAAAAAAGGGGTGCAAAAGCCATGTATAATGTGATGAAAGCTATTGGTATTCTATTACATTTCGTAACATAATAAAACGGATAATTTTAAGAAAATATTTTATTGCAAGATAAACATGTATATTCCAGTAATTTGCAATTTAACACCTGACATTTATTATACAACTTAAAAATGTTGCTACTATTACGGTTTGTATAGTGTTAAACATTTCGTATACAAAATATATATAACATAATTTTATTCCAAAGTAAATATTATGTTTAAATTCAAGTTAAAAACATTAAATAAGTTAACTCTTAATGTATTAGACCAGCGTTCTTCAACATATGAATTGCGACCCAATATTGTTTTTTTTTTAATTTTTAATATGCCGTAAAATGACAGCTGTCATCTTGCGTCAAAATGTCAAAATTTTATGTTATAATTACAAATAAATATGTTGGGACATGCGGTAAAAAAGTTGAGAAACGCTGTGACTCATTTCATTTCTTGAAATATATAATATATTATATGATTCATTGCTGAAAGTTTAAGATCAAGTCAGAAAACCTATGAAATAAGATAACTTTAAATGTTTGAGACCAGTGTTCTTCAAGTTATGAATGGCGTCCCAATATTGTTTTTTTTTTTTTAATTTTTTATGTGCCGTAAAATGACAGCTGTCATCTTGCGTCAAAGTGTCAAAATTGTATGTCTTAACTTGTTGGGTCGCATTATAACTACAAATAAATATGTTGGGACGAGCGGTAAAAAAAAGTTGAGAAACGGTGTGACTCATGTCTATACCACACATTTCTTGAAATATATAATACAGTGGTACCTCGATATACGATTGCCCTAATATACGAGTGTTTTGCTTTGAGATGAGAGCAAGATTTGAGATACGAGGAATCGCACACTACACCGCTGCACAGTTTCTTCCACCTCAGACTAGACCTCAGTTTGTGTGTCTTTTTCACTGGTTTTCGAAGCATTTTTGATAATTAGGATTAATTTCATTTCAATTAATTTCAATGGGGAATATTGCTTTGAGATACGAACAATTTGACATACGAGCAAGGTTACGAATTAAACTCGTATGTCGAGGTACCACTGTATATTACATGATTCATTACTCAACGTTAAAGATCATGTCAGAAAACCTATGAAATTAGATAACTTTAAATGTTTAAGACCAGTGTTCTTCAACTTATGAATGACGTCCCAATATTGGGTTTCGTTAAGTTTTTAATGTGTCGTAAAATGACAGCTGTCATAATGTATCAAAATTGTTTGTAATAAATAGTTGTATTGCATTATAACTACAAACAAACATTTTGGGACGTGCGTTAAAAATGTTGAGAAATACTATGACTCATGAATTTCTTGAAATATTTAAAGTAATAATTTTTGCTAATATAAATAAGTTTAATAATCAAGATTCCTAATAAAAAAAGGTCACAGTTGAATGTTTAAAATTAAAAAAAACTACAGTATTTTTTTTACAACAGCGTTTCTTAATTTTTTTGCTGTGTGACACAACATATTAGACTGATCCATTTGTTAAGAGTATTTCATAAGTTCCGTGCTTTGTCAAAAGGTGACAGCTGTCATTTAGCGACCTTACATATTTGTTTGTAGTTGTACTGAGATCCAATGGCTAAGAGTATTTTTAACAGTTCCTCGATTTGACAGAAGATGACAGCTGTCATTTTGCAAACCATTAACAATTTGATACTAACCAATGTTGGGTATTGTATATTGGATTGGTATATTAGGTTCCAATCCTAACTGAAGAAGATTATTTCATATATATTCTACAAAATTGTAAAATCAATAGGAAACGTGTAATAAATAATTTTCTGGAAAATTAAGTCGGATTTGTTTAAAACAAAAATATACTAAACATAGATTGAAAATGATTTTCATTCAACATTTATGAATAAATAACAATTTTACTGTTATAATTTTTTGAGTGATTAAATAAAATTTTCTACTTAGTTTATCTTTTTTTTTTGCAAACATAAAAGTTAATTATAAATAATACAGATGCAGATTAAATTTTTTTTAGAATAAACAACGACATTACTGTTATTTCAAAGATATCAGAACTTTGTTTTTAATGAGCAAATGAAATCATTACTTGAATTTTAATTTTGTTTCAAAAACAAAATGTAAGTTTTAAATAACGGTTACTTTCGATTCAACGTTTCTATAATCATTTATTGATTTGTATTTTGTTCTTATTGGTTGTTACTAAATTTGTTATCAGGATTTTCGAAAAATTCAACTGTTTTTGTACATATAAAAAGTATAAAAACTATATAATGTAATTTAGTATTAAAAATAAATGTTTATGTTTAATATTTAGTTTCAAAATGAAACGTTATAGTATTCTTTACTAAAAACGAATTGTATTATTTTTGTTTTCAATGAGTAAAATCTTTTATTTAAAAAAAAAACAAAATTTTGGTAATTTTTTAGTCAAAAACCTATAGAAATATGTATAATGGAATTTGATATTAAATGTGTTTAAAATGTACAGTCAAAATGAAAAGTAATTGGATTTTTCACAAAAAAAAAAGAATAAACTAGGTCAGTGGTAAACTTACGTATTGTACGTGATAAAAATACGTCGAATGTGTTATATAGTAGATAGGTAATCCAATTATGTAATTGCTGTTGTTAATCACTTTCACAGAAAACAAAAACTACCACTTGAAAACTGTAAGATGATGATGATGTTGAAGATGCGCGTACACGTGTTTCCATCGTTGCGTCGCCTTTTTTTCCAGTTGCGGAACGGCATGGATTTGGTGGAAATTCCGTGATCAACCCCAGATAATGAGAGGAACCAGACTGGCCGTCATTTATGCTCCGTAAAATGTTTTTAATAGTAACAATTGGACAATATTGAGTTGTATTGCATTAAAGAATCTGTCCTGTTTAACTAATATAAGCTGCACTAATAGCCATTGTCACTAATAGGCAAAAATTGGGTAAATTGATAAATTCACTTAGTGGTTGATTGAACTAAATGCTACTTAACACGGCCACACTATAAACAAATAAAAACAAGGATGCATGAACACATACATACATATATACACACATACACCAACATCATTTGCCATCATCGGGCAGACGACAAACGGCAGACGATTTCCATCGCGCATTAATTAATTTAATTACAACCCAAAGGGTCGATTCATTTATTAACTCTAATAAACGTTTAATAACTTTGCCACACGTTTATTAAACCCATTTCCACATACATTTAGTATTATTCCGAACGCAGAATGCAACACATTCCGCACCAATAAACGGAAATTAAAAATTGCAGTTTTCACAAAAGTTCAGTTTCCGGTTTTCATTATTTTCTGTGATATTAGTGTAAATTAATGAAACTATAAGTTGTTTAATATGTATTAATAGTGTTAATTCATTTATAAATAATATTTATGAAGGTGAGTTGTTTTTTAATTCACTAAATTGAAAACAAAATAATAAAACGTTGCGATATGAAAAAAATATGAATCATGCGGAGTGTCAAAGGTCTTCCTCCTCCATGATTTGTTTGATGGGAATAGCATCAAGGCAATTTGATCTTTATGATCTTGGTTTTCTTGTTCAGAAAAGACTATATTATTATTTCAACAAAATCTATTTTTTTTTTGTACGTTTTATGTTTATTTTAATTATCTTCAATTCAAAAATCGACCTTAAGTTAAATTGCTTAACTTTTATAAGACATCTAATGATTCCAACTGAAATAATACTTAAAACAAATTCATATACGTTTCTCAATATCATTGACTTTATTTACTTATAATTACAAAAAATCAAAATATTTATTAATTTTTAAAATAAAAACACATATTTTAAATGAAAAGACAAACCAATTACTTTTTACAAACATAAAAATTGATTATTATTCAACTTTTTTTTTAGAATAAGTTTCAGTGTTAAAAGAAATTTGAAAATAAACTGATCTAAAAAATAAAATTATTTTCAAATCTAATAAAAAAATACACATATTTTACAAGAAAATATAAACCAATTACTTTATAAAACAAATATTTAGGGACAAATAAATCAAATAAAACAATATCAAAACTTTGTTTGTATAGGATTTTCTAAGAAAAAACTTTGATCATTCATATTCTAAAATTAATTGTTATAATAATTTGTTCTAAAGATAGTAATGATATTTAAAAACAACATAAATTTGTAATCATAATTGAAAAGAAAAAATATTACAATTTTCTGATACAAACTGTTTTCTGTTTTAACTGTTATCAAATATCTAATAAATATCATATGAAATAACGGTTACTTTACTAATATCATTTTTTTTCAATTTTAAATTTGTTGATTTAGTTCATGTTCTTATAATTGGTCGTTTTTACACTTTTTGTGAAGCTTGTTGGAAGATTAAACTGTTTTTGAGTATTATTTATATAGTTTTTTGTTTTTAATATTGTTATAAAGTGGTCATGCGCTATGTGCAATAAACAGTCTAAAACTGTTTAAAATCGATTATGTTTCTTTTGAAATCATTTGACTGTAAAAGATATATGTGTGTGTGTATTATAAGGGCCAATGTTGAGGAAAAGCGTGATCTGCCCTCGGCTTATACAATATTTGATATTATTATATTAAATTTATGTTATCGAGGACCGACCCACATGATTGTGATTTCCCACAAGAAAAAGTGCAATTAGAAGCGTTTAGGACCCACATGCATCGGTTGCGACCTCTGGCGTTTTTCGGGTATTTTGGTAAACGTGACCACCATCGTCGTCCTCCAGATTAGGGGACGATCTCTCACTCTCAACCTGTTGACGTCGACGACGCGACTCTCCTTTCCTCCTTTTTATTTCTTTTTTTTTTTCATTCACTTTGGGGCAGGCAGGGGTGGCGGCAATACGCTAAATGCCCCTATGCCCGGCTCCTTTACACCAATTCAGTTATCAAGTGGACCAGTGATATATATGGATATGCCTCCCTTTGTCATGGGAGTTCCTGTTGTTCCTGTCTGTGAGAAATATTTTGGGAAACAATCGTAGGGGGTTATGCGGTTTGCGGTGATGGAAGGATGAAGTATACGGATGATTATGAGAACTGCATGATTCGAGTCGATACATGCGGGAGTCTCAAAAGTATTAAACATTTCGTTTACTTTTCTCACATTACCGCAACACAATTAATGTATTGCAGATGATATCCTTTCGATACATCATATTTGTTCAAGTATTTGCCATGTATAAAATATACATTGTTTCAATATCACTAACATTTGTTTTATAGGTACTTGCTTTATTTAAAGTATACTGTATATTTATTTATATTATGCGGTTTGTGAATACTTGCATTTTCTGTAATACTAGTCAAGTATTACACACGATACTTATGAAGTGAACTATTAAGTATTTAACATAAATGATATGTAAATAATCTCCTTATTACTATTGCTTATATTGTTACTATTTTCCAAGTATATTGTTACTATTTTTAAGTATATTTACTTAATAGACGTCACTTAACAATTAAAATTATCAAATATTTGCCAAATAAAAGGATTATGTGCTTTATTTGTACTGTACTGTGGTGTACTGTACTATTTTCGTAATCGTAATTTTCGTAAAAAATAGTTTACGTTATAAATATCGTAGTTTCAATATTTATAACGTGAACTATTAAGTATTTAATTTGAAATAAATGAGATGCATATAATCTCCATATTACTATTGTTTGTATTATAAATACTTGTTTCTTCATAATACTTGCCAAGTATTTTTACTATATTCAGTTAATATACGTTACTTAACAAGTAAATTATCAAATACTTGCCATTCGAAAGGATTATGTGTTTTGTAAATACTTACATTTTACATAATACTAGTCAAGTATTTATACTATATTTCACCCGAAATACGGATATTTATGAAGTGAACTATTAAGTATTGTATTTGACATAGATGAGACACATATAATCTCCATATTACTATAGTTTGTATTATGAATACTTGCTTTTTGCCATATCTAATTGATATACGTTAATTAGCAAGTAAATTATCAAATACTTGCCTATCAAAAGGATTATGCATTTTGTAAATACTTGCATTTTCTGTAATACTTGTCAAGTATTTTTACTATATTCAGTTAATATACGTTACTCAACAAGTAAATTATCAAATACTTGCTATTCGAAAGGATTATGTGTTTTGTAAATACTAACATTTTACATAATACTACTCAAGTATTTATACTATATTTCACCCGAAACACGGGTATTTATGAAGTGAACTATTAAGTATTGTATTTGACATAGATGAGACACATATAATCTCCATATTACTATAGTTTGTATTATAAATACTTGATTTTTGCCATATCTAATTGATATACGTTACTTACCAAGTAAATTATCAAATACTTGCCTATCCAAATGATTATGTGTTTTGTAAATACTTGCGTTTTTTGTAATACAAGCCAAGTATTTGGACTATATCCAGACGAAATATCACTATCATTTATTTTGCATGTACATACGTTTTCTGTAATATGAAGATTTTTTTTCAATTATAAAAAAAATGTAAGATATATGAAGATATCTAATTATTTTTTTCTTTTTAAGATACATTTTTGTTATTAATTTTGCTAATTTATTTGAAATAAAAAAATATCAAAATAGGCTGTGAATTATAATTAATTTGTTGCTATAGTAACAATTTTTTTAAAGAGCTAAATAGAGTCAGTATATTAGTATTAGTAAATATATGTATCACATTATTAAAAACTTACATCTCTAATTAACTTTTAATTGATTCAAATTAATTTATTTGTACAAATTGATTTGAATTTATGAATATAATGATAATAAAAGTAAATTATGAATTTAGATGAGTTTTGTTAATGAAAATAAAGTTAAATTCACAATTTTTTAAATCAATGTGTAAATATAACTTTGAAGTCAGTCATAAGTGGAAAAAAAGTCAATTTCTTCTCTTTTCTTGATTCGTAAGAATATTTATTTTAAATAAACACTAATTATATTAAATTAATTTGTTTCCAAATTTATACAATTGCAATGATATTAAAACATAAATTTTAAATGAACTTGATTCGTGCAATTGTATACATTTTTTTTACTGAATTACTAATTATTTTAAATGAATTTGTTTCTGAAATTTTAACAGATTCTTACAATTGTGATGATAGTAAAATATAAATTGAAATAGGTTTTCTGAACTTTGATATCATTCATAAGTGTTTGTCGATTATATATGTATTTTGTGTATTAACATTTCAGGCATGTACATTTTCCGATCTTCTCCAACGATAGAAGTTCAGAAAAGTTGCGCGCATTGTTCGGAATAGGGGGATGGCTTTGAGGCTGGAACCACCCTATCGGCGCTTCCCAAGGCCACGTGACCCCTCATCTGACCAATAGGAGATGACAATGATGCGCCCTGCCCGACGCCCATAGGCCGACCGTTTAAGCTCGTTAAATATAAATTGGTACAAATAATAATGTCACAAGTCAGTAGTGGAGTAACAGCGCCAATTGTCAATTCGGTTTTATTATTATATTCGCCTTAATCAGACTAAATTAAACAAATTGCTTTGATTTGGCACCGTTGTAATTACTTACGCAATTGGCGCAATTGTGATTAATCAGAAGAAAGAGCGGAAAAAAAGAAGCGTCGTTGTCGGAGGATTTTCGTTACTTTCACAAAAAAAAATAATAATACATATAATAAAAATCGTGTTGGATCTTTTGGTTTTCCACGTCCGTTGAAGAAGGCGAAGAAGACATGGAGGGTGGACCGTTCGAGGATGCGAGCTTCGAGTACGCCGGACAACCTCTGCCCTCGCTGAATTCGACTTTGCTGAACAAGAACCAGGACAATATGAACGTGCATTCGATCCAGGTGATGCTCGGTCTTCAGCAGCAGCACGACATGTTCACGAGCATGGGATCACCGTTGGATTACAAAGGTTCGCCGAAGATGGAGAACTCACCGATGCACCAGGAGCTGGGTATGTTCAACATGGAGAACAACAATGGGAACCAGGGTGGAGTTAAGAGGAAGAACGAGGACGTGGTGCTTCTGCAGAGTCAGAATCTTAGTTCCAATGAGATTGGGACGACCACCGTGACACCGGCTCCGCCGCCCAAAAAGAACGATAAGAAGAAGAACGATAACAACGGTGTCAAAAAGAAGAAGACTAGGTGAGGAAATTCGCACTTTTTTTTTTGGTTTGTCCAAATTACTACGGATGGTTTCGCACGCCTCAGCGGCTACGGTTAATTGGACCATATGCTTTACGGAAAAAGAATTAGTTTCAACTCCCCTCTGAACACATGACACCCGTGTTTTATGCAACAGCCGTTTTATTTTATATCCAAAAAAAGGTTTATTAGCTACTTATTAATTGCGCTGCATTTACATAACATTCTTACAATATAAAATATATAAATACACCTATCCCTCGTTTTACACGGTATTCTATTTACACGTTTTCGGGCTTTCAATAACATATCCTAGGCGTTTCTTGCATACTTTTCGATTAGCACGGTTTTATATTCAAAAAGTTACAATTTCGATTTACACGTTTTTGTCAGGAATCTACTTACCGAGTAAATAGGTGTATAAAGTAAATTCTTAAAATTTGTAGAAAAACTATCATCAAAATTGCAGGTAAACGGTTTTATAAAAAAAAATAAGTTATTTAGTTCAAATTCCATAAAAGACAAAATCGCAAGTAAAGATTTTGTAATTTAGGTATAAATCACATGACAAAAGAAAAAAGTTAAGTTTGCTAATAAAAATGCATTCTGTTTAGTTATAGTATTACATAATTCACCTAAATATTATCAATTAAGACTTGGGAAAGAAACTACCTAATACAATACAAATAATAACGCAGTAAAGAGAAATATACAATTTGATTCAAAAGTCAAAACAACAATTTAAAAAATATACAGATAATTACGATGTATATCTTTCAAATCTTATACTTCAGAATGAAAATTTTAAATATATTGTAAATATATAATGTTAATATGAACTAAAAACTTTGAGTTTCTAAATATTTGAAAAAGTGCGGACAGACTGCGGTCAATAATTAAAGTTGGCTATACGATTTTACAGCGAAACCAATATAATCAAAGTACATAATGCCAATAGAAAGAAAATAATATTATATAAAATCAATTATAAACAAAAATATATTTAAAAAAGCTTTCGTTTTCAGTATATAAACTTTTATATATTGATTAAATAATAATATGATATACTTTTAACATTTTATAAATTTATCGTGTATAAAATATAATAATAATATATAAAATCAAATATTGACATTTTTGACAGTTCATGTTAAAAAAAAAACTATTTGTTAGGTCAATATACAATAATATGAAAGATTTGTTTGGTTTATCGATAATTTTAGTGTGAATTGTAATAAATGCAAGTATTTGAGTCAAATAATGAACTAACTATTGTAATTAAAATACAGTGGAACCTCACTTAACGAGCATAATCCGGATTTTTACTCGTATAGTGAAACAATTTTCCTCATATAAACTATAGTAATATACTATAAGGCGTTCCATTTTGGAGTCAGTTTTCATTCAATTTATTTTGCTCGTTAAACGAAATGTTCGTTATGCGAGGTGCTCGTTAAGCGGGGTTCCATATAATTACACTTTTCTTGCTAATTGTTATAAAAGTAAAACTTATATAAGTTTCCGTAGTGTAGTGGTTATCACGTCTGCTTCACACGCAGAAGGTCCCCGGTTCGAACCCGGGCGGAAACATACTTTTTGATAAACAAAGTAACGTTAATAAAATATTATGTAACAAATAATAATAATTAATAACATTCCTTTAATCAAAGTTAAAATAAGATTCCTTTTTCAGTTAATAGAAACATATTATTATTTTGATTTAAATCACAACAAAGACAATTAAATTTAAATTCAGTAATTTTAAAAATGTATTAATGAAACTTTTGGAAAACTTTAAATGAATATTTTTAAAAACAATAAATCTATATTGTTGGGTATAGCAGTGTTTATTAATCGATTAAATTTGGAGTTAATGCACTAATATTCATTTACAATACAACTTATATTTAGACTTTGTTTAATTTTTATTTTTTTTGTGTAATATAAGTTGCCTAGCTCATCAATAACCAATTCAAAAGTAACAGTTCTTGAGCTTTGTAACTAAATATAAAATTAGTTGAAATCTTGTAATTTTATCGATGTGTATATTTTATCACAAATTAATTTATTATTTTCTTGTTACAGAACCACATTCACTGCATTCCAATTGGAAGAACTGGAAAGGGCTTTCGAAAGGGCTCCATACCCGGACGTCTTTGCCCGCGAAGAACTAGCTTTAAAGTTGAATCTGAGCGAGTCCAGGGTGCAAGTCTGGTTCCAGAACCGAAGGGCGAAATGGCGCAAAAGGGAACCACCACGCAAAACCGGATACATCGCTTCAAATTCACCTAGCTCGAGCATCAGCTCGAACTTCAACAACACCCTCGGACCATTCACGCAATCCACGAACACCATCAACAGCTCCGTGCCGGTAGACACCTGGAGCTACCAACCTGGATACGAACTAGGACATCTGAACTTGTTGAACTCATCTCCAGCAAGCAGCTACCAGAGTTTCGGTTCTCCACAAGGCGGATACTCCTACATGCTCAACTCGCACGACAATCAGCTGTTCGCTGCACCGCTAAGGGCCCACGAGTACGGTCCACCCTTGACCAACCAGAGTCCGCCCCTGAACAGAGAATATTCGATGCTTCAAACGCATTCCCCGAACGCCGAGGAGGCCGCGATCGGCACCAAAATCGAATACGTCAATCACATCAACGGCGGATCACCGGAACGTTACGGAAACATCTCACCCAAATACGATACGAACATGATGCACGACATCAAACAGGAGTACGACAGTCGGATAAAAGAGATCAAAATCGAACCGAACACCAATCAAACATACGTGACGCTACCTCCTTTTTTGAATTAGCTAGAATTTTTAATCGATTCTACTTTTGCGAATGAACAATTCGATCAAAACGCAAACTAAATCCATTAAAAATTCTAGCTGAAAATCGTCGTCTTTTTTTAATTATTTTTTATTATTATTATTTTACCTTGTCTTTTAATTTCCCAAAAAATGCTTTGAGCAACCTATAATCAAATTCTTAATTAAAATTGAACGTTTCCAAATTTTGTTTACACGTTGTATTAAGCGAAACGAATTAAATTTATTATCTAATAATTAGGAAAACAATTGAATCCTGGATTATTCCAGGATGATCTGTAAATATTTCTTACTTCGTCTTGTATATATATATATATATTTTTTATGATTATCGAGTGAATTTTGTGCCATTTTAGATTTTACTATGATTGTGCCATACGATTTAATTGTTGAAGCAATAACATGTACATATTTTGTTCGTTTTCCTCTATCATTTGTTTTTTCAATTACATAAACAAGGGATGAAACACTCTAATTTTGTTTATAAACTTTATATTTGTAAACATATTTTATATAAATAAACATTTTGCAAAAGTCGCGAATGTTATTTTCAACTTTCGCCACTTTTGTAACCATCCTGTATATAGAAACTACCATTATGTTTAATAACTAATTAATTTTGATGTTTTAACTCTCTCTTTTTTTATTAATCTTAAATTATTGAAAATAAAGTGCAAAACTTATTTTGTTTCAATGAAGATTTATGACGTGTTATGTTATTATTCAACGCTATTAATAATGTAAACTACTCTGCAATACAATTTAAATAAGATTATTATAATTGTACAATTAAATTGAAAATAAATATAATAATAAATTAATCTAATATTGTTTTTTTTTATAAATGAAAATGTATTCCAATTTGCTTTAGTGGTAAATCTTCATTATTTAAACTTGATCTTATCTTTTTCTTTGTGTGCAGTCAAATTTTGAAATCGTTAAAAGTGTGCCGTGACAAAAAAAAAGGTTGAGAATCACTGATCTATCCAATAAACCTATATTTGACATCTGTCAGATTGAGGGCAATTTGACATAATCTAAATGATGTGTCAATTTTTTCAAATATTAAAAGATTACTATTCTGAAAAATGAATAGTAATTATGGAAATTATTGTGGTACTACTTAAAATCTTTGAAAGATATCAAAACAAAAATCAATTAAAACGTTTATAATAGTTTTATTGAATTGTCTAAATGTAATATTAGTGAATTTACCATCTTTTTTTTGTAGAGGAGAAGAAACCTTACATAGGGACCACGAGTGGAGTCGTGGTACAGTGGGATTCTTTCCGCACTAAAACCTCTCCTCTTCTTCGTCGGCATACAGGATTACTGTACTCCTCTGCGATGCTGATTGTCCTTTCCTTGGATCACTTATGTCAATGCCACTGTAACTGTAGGCCCTCTGCAGCTTCCGCTCATCTACCTCTTTAGTCAGTAGCATCTCTGTTTGCCATCTGTTAATACGAATTATAAAATTGGAAATTTTTGAAAGATTTTTTTTAATAACATTGATTTCACAAATGACTCAAATATATTTCCAGTTACAAAAAGCATTAGAAAGGCTCAAATTTACCAGATTAGAAAACTTTTATTATAATTTTACAAATTCTAAATTATTAAACTAAACTAAAATCAAGATGTAAATGCAATGATGATACATAAAAGATAGTTTTGTGGTATTGAGAAATATAATTAGAAATCAATTTAATTGGAAATAAATGATTTATAAGTATTTTATTTAATTGCTGCACGCGCCGAAGACTTGTATATAAATTATCTTTTATTAAGTGTTAAGTGTATTGCATATTTCATTCATTCAAGATAATTGCATTATGATGTAACTGTTTTAATAGTAATTACAAAACCTGTTGTTGCAGATAATTGGCATTATTCTTCCGTAAAGAATAAACAAAATTCCATACCTTTGAATACAAAAAAAAACATACAATCAAGTTTGCTTAAAATCATATTATTGCATTTGTTATTTAATATCTATGAATTTTTATTAAATTTTATTAAAATTCAATATTAATTATGAAAACTTAATTACGAATTACGAACTAGTTCCATTCCAAATCAAGGGAATTGGTTTGATCATAGTTTTTTTCTTTTATATATGTTTAATTCCGTACTACTGACTGTATAAATTTGAAAACATAGATTAAAATAAACAAAATACTAACTTACAAATACATTTCCGTGTAAACATCACAAATATTTAATGAAAGACGACAAAAAAAACAAATTCAACAAAACAGGTCCAAAAATATTATATTTTATTAAAGAAATTGTTTTGTAACAAGTTAGTGTTTTTAGAATTTTGTTCGTAAGTCCGGGAGTTCGTAAGTCGTAAATATAATTTAGTTCAGTAGTCGGCAAATTTATTAGTCAAAGAGCCAAATATGAACATTACAACAATTTAAAAAAAAAATTGGAGCCAAATCTGCTTGTTTAGTAAACTTTTATTACAGTAAATAAGTAGTACACTAAATAAAACTAAATTTTAAACTTAATAAATATTTATTAATGCGAACAATGTGCTTGCATATCCTTGGAAAGTTTGAGTAAGTCAGGTTTGTATGTTGTTGCGCCTCCGTGAATATTTGTGCCAGAGCCGCACTTAAGGAGCAAAAGAGCCACATACGGCTCTGGAGCCGCACTTTGCCGACCACTGATCTAGTTGAACATGTTTGAATAAAATCTATATTCAAGTTTCTTTAAAACCAATTGAAGTATTTTAGTTTAGTTTATTATTTGTTTATTTCATATTTATTAATGTTCATTAAATTTTTATTAAAATTCAAAATTAATTATAAAAAATTGATTTTAATTTTTGAATTATTTCCTATTTTTGTTCATTTATTCTTTTTCTTGTTCATTTAATTTATTTCAATCACTTCATACGTTTAGTTTTGTTTATTTAATCACTGAGAGTTAGTTAAATTAAAATTGAATAATTTAACTAACTCTCTCTTTTTTGTTCATTTGATCAAGTTTAAGAATTGTTAAATTGTCAATATTTACCAAATATGTTTCATAATGGACATTTGTTTTATTATTACACTAATTACGTAGAAACATTAAAATACTAGTAGTAATATAAAATTTACTTAGAACTTTCAACTTAGAAGATTCGAATAATTAGTTGAAAAATGCATCAGTTAATCTTAATTTTTGGGTCAATATCGCAAGCCCGGCAACCGAAAATCCCGACGTACAAAATCCCGACTGTATCTAAATCCCAACGTTCGAAATCCCGACTATATCAAAATCTCGACAACCATAATCCCGACAAACATAATCCCAACTATATCAAAATCCCGACTGTATCAAAATGCCGACTATATCGAAAATTTTTACAATAATATTTTTAAATTATTTCGCAGCGTAGTCACCTTGTGCTACACTTTTATTATTAATAAAAATAAATTATTATTAATTTATTTAATTTTGTTTAATTATTCATAATAAACCTTAACATTATGAAATAATCTCAAATACAATTAGATTATTAATTGTTATTATTTATTATTAATAACAATTTAAAAGTCACTACGCTTCGATATAGTAGGGATTTTGAAACAGTCGGGATTAGGGTTGTCGAGATTTTGATATAGTCGGGATTTCAATAGACGGTCTTTCGGTTGCGATTGCCACCGTTAATTTTTTACATTTTTTTGTATATAGATTTTATTAGACTTTTAGCTGTTTGAATGTATTGCAAAAGAGAAGCATGCATGACTCTGAATGACTAAGAAATATTTGACGATCTACGTAAGCTTTCAAGATCTTTCGTATGGACATTGAAAGAAACCTTTACTTATCGGGCAGAAGATCCGTGGGTATTTCCACAAAGTGTATATCCGTTACCATTCTTCCGTCCTCTCTTTTTTTTTTACTATTACATCACGAAATACCCAGTCGTATATCCTTCGCCATGACGGAGTCTTTCGAAAAATCCCAGCACTTGAAACCTGTGTACCTGATTAGCAGCAACGACAAACAAAAAGAAAGCAGATATAAAACGGAAACTGATAACATTCGCATTAAAATGAATTTAAAAGAAAAAAGGATTTAAAGCACCTTGGGGTTATACTAGGAAGTAAACGAAGCGAAAAGATTAATGTTATGTTAAATATATGCAATATTTGCATATTGGATTATCTGCTGTTTTAGTGCACTGGGTTTTCCTTTTCTATTCACAAATAAGAAAAGGTGTAATTCAAAAAACATACATAGAATTTCCTAACCACTTTCAATTTATTTATTTAATGGTTAATAAATTGCGGTACGATTTTATGAAGCAATTAAAAAAATAAGATTATTTTCCAATTGATTTTAATTAATAACATTAATATTTTTTTACATTTAACCACAACCATTATGAAAATATTTATTTTTTGAAATATTTTTATAGATCCTAGAGATACTATTATGTAATTAAAGAAGTCAAGAGATCCATGAATAGTATATAAATGAATGAAAACATATAAATTAATTTCAAAAATCTTCAAAATGGAAATAATCCTGTAAATACTATAGAAATTTCATAAAAATCTTATACAAAACGCTTAGAAAACCCATTATAAATCTCATCAAATTCCATAGAAATTCCTTAGAGCCCTGATAGAAAATTCTTAGAAATCCCTGATTCCAGTTAATCACTTTATGTTACCCGCCTCAACTAATTTATTGTTACTAGACACAATTTTTCAACATTTTGATTGTAAAAATATGAATATTTCTTACATTTTTATCCATTAAATGGATAATCTTTCCCGGTGGATAGTTACCATTATGATGATTTGTATATTGATGCTCTGCGATTCAAATATTTCCTTTGACTGTGAATCTGCTGCTATCCTTATCACTGTCATTGTCCATCGACTTGGCTGAAGGTCCATTCATTTGACTGTCAATCTGTGATGAACAATAGCCCTATTGCTGCAAGCACTGAGAGGGATCAGAAAGGGCCCAATTTGAACCGGCTCCCAATTTTCCAATTGGTTGGCGTCCGTTGCTTCGGTTTGGGTCGAGTGAATAAAAAAACGTTATCTATAACTAATAAGCTGTATATACATATTGAAAATAATAAAAAAAATTGCGGGAAATGATGGCAAAGACAATAAGTTATGATTGTTGGATTGGCGTAATCCTCAACTTTTGTTGCGTAGAAGTTATGCGCCAGCTTCTTTGCGTAGTCCTGAATCCTAGGAATGTTCACTTCCTCGTGCAATTCGTCCTTATTCAATGCTAGGCGCAGGCACTTGTTTTGAACCTTCGCCCACTAAATCGTGGGTTCTTCTTTAATTTGTACGCAATATCAAGATGCTACTAATTCATTACGTTTTTTATATTATTTGAAGACATTAACGTTTGTTGTCAATTATAAAAGTTAAGAAACGTATGTTGCGGTTAGCATTTAGATGGGTGACTTATACTTGTGAATACTGATACTGTTAGGTTGAATCAAGTCCACGGGTATTCACACTATTTGAATTTTGTAGTCAATTATCAAATATGTAGCCAATATTAGCATGCGAAGTATTTTTTTTTGTATTTGCCAACTACTTAAAGTTTTATTAACAAGTACACCAACTGCATACTTTATACAATCATATTCAGTTAGTTGGTAGCAGGGATACCAAAGCAGCTTGTTATTTTTTTTAGATTCATCTATTCATCCTCTATTTCCAACTGTAAAAATATTACACACATGAAATGTATTCAGTAAAAAAAAAACTAGAACTGGTTTGTTTATACCAACTGTATTCAATTTATAACTAAATGTCAATCAAAATAAATATATTTGGAATAAGAAATACATGAATCTCATTATTTGTGTTAACAATTTGAAAACGATAAACATTAATAAATTAAAGTTTTTTCGAACAATTATTGCTTTATTTCTGCGATATTTCCTATAAGAAACCATTTTTTTTTAATTTTACACTGAGATTGAAACTCATCTCTTTTAAACCGATCTTTGTGACAATCATTAATTCCATAAATTCAATGTAAATAAATAAACAAAATGTACATATTGTGGCAGGAGAGAAATACTTTTATAACTTATAAAATCATTATTTAGTTTTTAAATACATCATTTTGTAATATTGAAAAACGAAATTAAACGAAAAGTATTTATGAAATGTCCACACGTGTCAAGGATATGTACATTTTTTAATTTTCTCACTAATTCTGAGTGTGCGGTGGAAACAAGAGCAACAAAGCAAGATTTAATACAGTCGGGATTTCGAACGTCGGGAATTTGTTTGACGGTATTTCGGTTGTCGGGCTTGCGATTGCTACCGCTGAGGAACAGAGTTTGGAGACTGTCTTCTTGGCTGTGTTATATGTTTTTGCCATTCATTATTAATTAACTTTAACTTTAATTTTTCTTCCGAAATATGAGATTAAAATTGCATTACGTAATGCAATTATTCATATTAATGCAGTAAAAAAAATCAAGTAATAATGTAAATAATAAACAAAATTCGCTGTGTCAATTATTCAACTGATAATTTTTACTGATTATTTTTGACATTTTTTCTCTTTCCTGTTCAACTTGCAAACGCAGAGTTATGGCTTACTTTGAAAGGAAGAACAGGCCACTGAAGGTGAGCCGCCTGACACCCAACGTCAAGCTGCTACTTGGAACGATCGCGGTGCTCCATCTCAGCATCTTCGTGGCTCGACCACTGCTCTCAAAAAAAGCAGTGGTCTCCACCGAGAAACCCGATTACCTTATGAAACTGGACGAGAAACACATGGCCTACATCAACAGTATGATTAAGTCCTGATAATAATTATATCTGTATCGTACATTAAAAAAAACTGTAAATTTGCTTAATAAGTTTATTTATTTATTGATTGATTTGTTGCGTCTTCAAAAGGCTATGTTGAATGGGTAATTGGGCATGTCGCGAAGCTCGAATGCGGGAACGGCTCTGCCTTCGCAGTTCATCCCATCAAGGACTTCGACTTCGGATTCGGTCAGCTCAAAGTCGAAGATCTCGCTGTTCTCTGTAATGCGTTTGAGAGACGTCGATTTGGGAATCGGGATGCAACCTAATTGAACGATGTAGCGGAGGATGACCTGAGCAGATGTCTTCCCGTGGTTGTTACCTATGGCAACGATGTGTGGATCAGTCAACGAGAGTACAGGATCTCCGGGTTTGGCCCATGGTCTCGATGGTGATCCGAAAGGGCTGTAAGCGGTGATCGCAATATCGCGCTCCTTGCAGAACTTGATCAACTTCTTTTGGTTCAAATTCGGGTGAACCTCAATCTGAAATTTGATATCGAATTAGCAAAGGAAACGCAAAAACTTTGTAGGAAATCACACCTGATTCATGACAGGTTTAACTTTGCAGTTTTCCAAGAGCCTCTCGATCTGCTCGCTATTGAAATTGGAAACACCTATGCTTTTCGTTAATCCTAAACTCAAGCATTCCTCCATCCCTTTCCACGTGTCTACGTAATCGTAATCGTAACCTTCAGCATCTTTGAACGGAAGATCTTTGGAGCTTTCGCCTTTCATCTTTTGCGCAACTGGCCAATGCACCAAATACAGATCAACATAATCCAGGCCAAAGTTCTCCAACGACTTCTTGCACGCAGGGACTACTTGCTCCGTCTCGTGAAAAGTGTTCCACAGTTTCGTCACGATATAAAGATCCTCGCGTTTCACCGATCCATCCTTGATCTTCTCTCTGATTGCGTTACCAATTTCGTGCTCGTTGCCATAGAGAAATGCGCAGTCGAAATGGCGATAACCCATGTCGATGGCGTTCTTCACGGCATCTTCCACCTCTCCAGGTGCCGCCTACCAAAAAAAAAATTCTTCCTGTTCAATTTCCTATGAAGAAATCACTTGAATTATGTGGTTTACCTGCCAAGTGCCCAAACCGACTGCCGGTATTTTCTGGCCGTTACTCAGCGTCACCGTGGGGATACCCATGATCTGGAATAAATAAAGATTACGTAAAGCAGGTTGCGTGTCGCGGATGCATTAAAATAAATCAATATACGTGAGTCTTTTCATTTGGAAATTACCATCTGCAACGAAAGTCAATAACCTCGGTGAACGAGGTAACATGGGAACCAATTAATTGTATTTCACAACTGCGCAACAACTAGTGAAGATTCATGCTGAAGTATTCTCTAGAAATACATGAAAGATCGGTGAAGATTTATTTGAAGTGGCTAGTGTTTAAAAATTGAATTCTAATAAGTAAAAAGGATTTGGAAACTCAAATCAGCTGTAGTATTTAATCCAAGCAACATCGGACTTTCAGATTTGTATTAAATAGGCAGTGTTTAACAATATAAATCGGAAAAGTCAAAAGTATTTGAAAACTCTATATAGGAAACTCGACAAATAGTAAATATGTAATAATACAATATTCGATCAAAATACATGAAAAATCAGTATTGATTTCTGATTTCTATCTACCAAATATCATCATCAAGTAACATTTGACCTTTAGAGTTATATAAAATAGACAGTGAAAATGTTTGTGATATTTAATGTAGAAAACTTGAGAAGTAAAGATTTATGCTGAAATATTACATAAAAATATATAACAAAAATCAGTTTAGATTTTATTCAGATCAAATAAGAAAATTTCAACATTCACTCCGAACAAGTCAAAAGAATTTGAATATTCAAAATATAAAACTACTGAAAATGTATTCTTCAATACTTGATATTAGTATATTTGTTTAGATTTATATTAAATTAAAACAAGTTAATGTTAAACTCAAACTAATATATATATAATATAAATGTCTCAAAAATAGTATAAATTTGTATCAATATAAAAGGATTTGAAATCTTACTAACTAGTAATCATATGATGGAAATACATAAGAAAGTCAGTGAATCCATCTAACTAAGTGTATATTTGTATTAAATAGGCAGTATTTGTATCAAATTATATCACATGAATACGACTTATATAAACTGAATTTGGAAAAGATAAAAACTAATTCATATGTTCAGTGTTTCATCATCATTTTTATATTGATTGACTCAAATTGCAAAACTTAATAAAAGATTCGTACTCAGTTTAAATATTTAAAAAAATAGAGTGTTTTTTTTTAATAAACTGTGTTTTAATATTGAATTCAATTTATATATGGATATAAACTCGCTTTCAACGAGTGTAATAAAATCTTTCGTCCTGAATTATTTTATGGATGCACGCAGCTGCTATACATAAAATCTTTAATTTGGTATTATTGTTATTGAGAAGAAACCTATTTCAGGTCAATAATTGTATATTCCACTTGCTGAAGAATATTGGTGTGCTTAAATGAAGATGAGTTTCTAGAGTGACATAGTTGTTATATTAAAATGATTACATGCATATACTACACGTCTAGACTAACGATTAATAATTGAGACTAAAATATAATCATTGTTAACATCTGTCAATATTTAGTCTATTTTTGTCGGAAAGACTCCAAAAAAGAATTAAATCAAATCAAAGAAATAAATTATCCAATTATAAGCAAACATGAAACAGACCTAAATACTTGTTATATGATGATTTGTTTTAAAATTGGAAGCACTAAGTGAGTACAAACCTACATTCAAGTAATATTTGTCACTTCTGTATAAGTTATTTTTTATGTTGTAATGAAAAGAAAAAAATATAGCAGATTACCATGAAATAAGTTTATAAAATAATATTGTTACTAAACATATATATATATATATATACATAAAAATGGAACCGTTTTTTAATCTAAATCACTATAATTCAACTTATTATACAATTTTAGCTTAAAATTGTTTGACTTCACCAAAAGTACCATATATTTTTTTCATAGAAAATATTTCTGAAATTTAATAAAACTGTATAGGCAAAAATAATTTTAATGTGTTTTAAAAGAAATCCAAAGAAAAGTTTAATTTTTTTATTTTAACTATGTTCTGGTAACAAAGTGTTAAAAAATAGATTTTATTTAACCATTACTTAATTACTTATATTTATGTTGCAATTAAACTTGGTTTACTGTATATGTTTGTAATTAACAAAAAAAGCGGAGATTTTGATAAATTCATTAGGTATTCGCAAGAATAGGTTAGGTAAATTTAGGTTATGTTAGCCTCTAATAATTTACCGCAAATGCATAAAGTGATTGTGATTTCTTTTTAAATACAGTTTTTTTTTGCTAAATTTTTAATGTATTATTTTTTTTGTATTAATTTATTACATTTTAAAACAAAAGTCCATTAATTATTATTTATTTAATTATTTATATTTCAAAAAATATTGTATACTACTTTTTTAGAATTGATTTTTTTGAATGTGAATCCGGACTAATTGAAGCCGTACTATATGAGGTATACCTGTATATAACACAATATACATTTAATGAGAGTAATTATTAAGTAAATAATTGAATTTCAGTTAATCCAATTCTAAAATATGTTATTTTACTTATTTGCTAGAGTTTATATATAAAATACTTAAAATACACACATGTATCTTTTTGTATGTTTTATTTGATATTCTATTTTTGATTATTGCTAAATGTATAAATGCAAATGATTTATTAGACTTTTTCATGTTATCTACAATTACAGCTTCTGTTATCAAATAATAATATTAATAAATAGTTTTGGATACTTACTGTACACACAAAACCGGGAGAGAGATAATACTTGTTTTGATATATTTTGTTATTGATATTTTGCGGCAAGTAGATCCGACTGATGTTCGGTATCAACTGTGTAGAAGCGTACGCGATTCCGAGGACGACCTCAATGTCAGACCAATTTATCGTCGAATACAATCTGATGAGAATTTCAGTCGACTCATTATGCCATAACGTTCAGTCGTAAATTTTTCCACGCCTCGAATTTCTATCTCTAACGATCAGCTTACATAAATAATCGTATATTTCACTTGATTAACGAAGATAATTATTATTATAATGTTTAAATATTCTCATATTCCAATATTGATTTTTTTTAATATAATTCGTATAGAATTTTTAAACAAAATTTATTATCAAGTTTTTTAGTGTGAAATACAATTATATATTTTCCATTTTGTCTAATGACGTCTTTCTGACAACTTCATGATTCTGCGCTTATCACCAAAAAATGAACCAATTTCAATATTTGGTTATCATAATGGTGAAAGTTTTACCATTCAAAGAGTTTTTCAAACTTTGAAATCTGATGGCTCCAATTCCACGAGTTACCAAAGAAATTCTTGTATTTTGTTTCTCTGTAAAATGATAACATATTACTTTGTAAAGTAATTTGATCAATTTTTCACTATAGAAATTTGTTTTTGATATTTTCTAAGATCTCTACTAATTCATGTTTCGTATATTGCTGATTATTATCAATAAATATCTTGCTTTCATCAATATTATCAATATTAAGACTGAAATCACGAGCTCTAAACTTAGTTTTCTCACAAAAAGCATCTTTTCCGTAAACAGAATAGTTATATTATTTCTTAGTTATTGTTTTAGTGTCATTTTTGGCTTTCTAGTAATAGAAAAGTATTAAAGTCTAAAATGTACTTTTTTAACAGTTTATAACAATTCTGATAAATTTAGGTATCAGTAATGCACGAACAAGTTGAATAATTTTTTACTCCAGAAATTCATAATTTATCAATATTTTCATATTAAATTTACTTTAATAAAGAGTCTCAATTTTGACAGTTTGCTTGATAGTCAAAGGGAAAACTTTCTAATAAGTATAATTATAAGTATAGTGTCCGAGAAAATCACTAAAAAGTGAAAACATTGCTTTTAAGAGCGTTAATTTTGAATATTTTAACAACTTTGAACGCGAATTAATACTAATCACACAGCAATTTGGGAATTTTTGCTACATTCGCCAGCTTTCATATGCATATTTTGTACTCATTCAATGTATTATAGTTTCCGAGAGAACGCTTTTAAAAGCGTTAATTTTTCACTTTTTTTTTACAAACTTGAACTCGAATTACTGCTAAACTCATGAAACCACAGCAATGTGTGAATACTCGTTACATTTTCCAAACATCCAGCTTTCATATGCATGTTTTATAACCATTCAATCTATTATAGCTTCCGAGAAAATCACAAAAAGGTGAAAACATTGCTTTTAAGAGCGTTAATTTTGAATACTTTTACAACTTTGATCGCGAATTAATACTAATCATACAGCAATTTGTGATTTATCGCTACAATCGACAAACATACAGCTTTCATATGCATGTTTTGTACTCATTCAATGTATTATAGTTTCAGAGAGAACGCTTTAAAGAGCGTTAATTATTCACTATTTTTTTAAACTTGAACTCGAATTACAGCCAAAATATGAAACCAATACTCGCTATATTTCCCAAACATCCAGCTTTCAAGTGAATGTTTTATAGCCATTTAATCTATTATAGTTTCCGAGAAAATCACTAAAATGTAAGAACATTGCTTTTAAGAGCGTTAATTTGGAATATTTTTACAACCTTGAACAAGAACTCATAATAATCATTTTTTTTTTGCTACATTCGCCAAACATCCAGCTTTCATATGCATGTTTTATAACCATTCAATCTATTATAGCTTCCGAGAAAACCACAAAAAGGTGAAAACATTGCTATTAAGAGCGTTAATTTTGAATATTTTTACAATTTTGAACGCGAATTAATAATAATCATACAGCAATCTGTGATTTCATGCTACATTTGTCAAAAAACAGCTTTCATATGCATGTTTTGTACTCATTCAATGTATTATAATATATATTATTCAATTATTCACTTTTTTTTACAAACTTGAACTTGAATTACTGCCAAACTCATGAAATCACAGCAATATGTGAATACTAGCTACATTCGCCAAACATCCAGCTTTCATATGCATGTTTTATTATACCATTCAATCTATTATAGTTTCCGAGAAAATCACTAAAATATGAAAACAATGCTTTTAAGAGCGTTTATTTTGAATATTTTTACAACTTTGAACGCGAGTTAATACTAATCATACAGCAATTTGTGATTTCTCGCTATATTCGCCAGACATACAGCTTTCATATGCATGTTTTGTACTCATTCAATGTATTATAGCTTTTAAGAGCGTTAATTATTCACTTTTTTTTTTGCAAATTTGAACTCGTACTACAGCCAAATGGATGAAATCACAGCAATGTATGAATACTCTCAAACATCCAGCTTTCATATGCATATTTTAAAACCATTCAATCTATTATAGTTTCCGAGTAAATCACTAAAATGTGAAAAAAATTGAACGCGAATTATAGCCAAATGGATGAAATCACAACAATGTGTGAATATTAATTAATCATGATAAAATACTGTTTTTAATATAGAAGTAAAACTTCAGAAATTGAGATATATTATTCTTCCTTTAATATCGTAGCCTTTTATACTTCCAATGAGTGTAATTACTATTATTAGTTCAATCTCAACTATTGCTGTATCATGATAAAATATGATTTTGTAATATATAATAGAAATTAGTTTTTCTTTCCAGAACATTTTCTAGTTTAAATTTATAGTTATTGAATATTTTGGTCTTATATTTGCTTTAATAACGAATGTAAATACTGACGAGTCTTTCTTGAATTAATTATTACAGTCTTATGAGAAAATATCTGCAACTGAGGTAATAGATCTGATTTACCAGTTGCCTGTTGATAAAATGAATATTTCAAATCGCACTTCGCACTTACCCATTGTACTCTCTCTCTCTCTATGTGCACTCTCCGTAAATTGTGAAGTCGATGGTTGAGTGAGAATAAGTGTGTGTGTGTTGTATGAACTAGTGAATACCTTGACTACGGCAACCGAAGTGCGTCCGTATATATTACCTGTTGATGGTCTTTAGCACAGCTCAGTCTGCAACCGAAAGTCGACGCGTCGATCTCTCCGAAGAGAACATCGCTTTCGAAAAGAAAGAGGAAAAGAAAAAAAAACATCATCATCAGCAGCAACATTTTGTTGACCCTTCCCATCGCATCAATTGCAATCGCTTCATGTGAATCGGACGACCAAGTGCAGAATACAAATTATAACTATCGTCTCAAATATCTCTTTATTTACAAGGTGAGTTTTGCTAAGTCGGAATACGCACGCATCGAACATACACGGAATGCTTTCATCTACATTCAAAATCCATATTTAATTTGTCACCTTTTACTTTCTTTGACTTCTCATAATTCGTATTCTTTTTTATTTGTATTCGAATGATTTGAAATGGCGAAAAATACAAGAGTCTTCGGGTTTGTCCCAAGCGATAATGATTTAATAATAAATAACTGTGTAATTGTAATAATCAAGTAACCACATCCATAAAATTAATAAATAAATGCAATCATTTTCTTGATAAAATTGAAATTGCTTCGGTAAAATTGAATTTTTTATATATTTTTACATACTTAATATTTTAAAATAATAGATTCTCACGTTTATTAAACATGTTTTTTTTCACAATTAAACTAAGATATAATTATTTCTTTTATTAGTAGATTCCTACATATTTATTTTACAAATTGGATGAAAATCTATTGGGAATTGAGTGTAATAGATTTTTTTTTATATATATTATAACTAATCAAAATTATGTTAGTTAATTTTGAAATTGTTCAAGTTTTAAAATCTAACACACTTTTAACTAATAATTATTATGATAAATAACATTTATGGAATATTGATGATAATATCATAATTTTCATATATAAGTAAATTTTGAACATTTCAGCTCTAAAATCTTTCAATATTTCAACGAAATATTTTTTTCTAATAATTGATTTAAAATGAATGAAAATTAATTTAAATTTTCAGAAATCTTGCGATATTTCAACTAAAAAAAATATGATTATAAAACAAACTTTTTGAAACACTGAAGGTAATGAGATCAATTTTAATAAATAATTTAATATGAATGAAAATAATTTGAAAATTTTCAACTCTGAAATATTGTTTTTTTTTTCTTAAAACAAACTTTTGAGAATACTGAAGATAATAAGATGTTTTAATAATAATATAAAAAGAAATTAATGAAAATAAATGGAAATTCTATCAAATAATTCGAAATCATGCATTATTCAGTTGATACAAGTTTACTAATTTGTAACCTATCACCTTGGAAACGAGCATTATGTATTGCAATGGGAAATACATAAACTTAATTGTATTGACGTCTTGTAATCATTGAAACTTGCATATTTCCATGAAACCAAAGGATTTTTTTTAAATTTTAAAATATCAGTTTTCTGACGTTATTTTCTTTAATTACAAGATTTAATAGTTCACTCGAAATGACGTAAGAAGATGTAGAGAAATTGTATAATAAAATTTGCAATTAGATCAATAATTCAAGACACACTATATAGACTTGTACAAAGTGAAACATAAAAATAACATAATATTTCCTTGAAATTCAATTTACATCAATAAAATAAGCGGTAATAGTGGACGTGCTATAAAATTTATTTTATAAAAAAAACATAAAATAATAAATCCTTATTGGCATTTAATTCAATAAATTAATAATTTATGAAATATTTTTTTAATAATAAGCAGATTACTAAAGTATGAATCAAATGTACAGTAAATGGAAAGTTTTTCTTCGATATGGATCTAAAATTCAAGTAGGCTTCTGTCACAAAATGACGTATTTTAGTACATGTCAATAAATACAAACAATAACAATAATATTGATTGCAAGTTGTATACAGATTACAAAAAGAAAACTAAATTGAAGTAAGTACTTACATTTATAAGGAATTAATTAATTTAATCATAACTATTGAGAAGGGCTAATACAAAACATTATTCATTATTGTATGAGCCCACTACAATTAAGGAATTGTAGTTTCACTATATGGCCATAAGTTTTTCCGTCCAAAATATTAAAAAAATAGCAATACCACGCATAGTACGGTTTCGATTCATTCGTTTTCATCAAAGTTAAGTCTTTTTAAGTCTTCGAATAGTACGATAGAGGGTACTATGCGAGGTATTTGCTGTACATTTCATTGAAGTTTTTATAAACTTATTTTCAATTACATCGAACTGTAAAAATGCTAACTACATTCAAACATCAATCAGGATATGTACAGTAGTAACCTACGCAAAACATGTTATAATGAGCAGTTTCCATGACCTGATAACCCTTCTAATTGCCATGACAATAAACCACACACAACCAGGTCAGTGTTGTTCTCTTCTGTCTGGACATAACATTTTTTTTTCATATGATTGCATGGTGTTAATAATGAAAAAAACATAAATAAACTCGATGGCTTTGAAAGATACATAATTTGTTTGTAGGCGTGCAAAGTATACACGTAAAACAAAAAGTTCAAAAACAAAAACAATGGCATTTAAATTAGCTCAATTTAGTTGTAAATATATTCAAGTTTGTTTTTATTTCTGTGCTTCTTAGATATTTCTTTGATTGGCGAATATGTGCATAAGTTAAGTGAGATAAAACAATTCGAAACAGTCACATCAGGAATTTCCATGATCAAGTTCACCTAATAAGAATTATTCTTTCGTGGAACGTAGATACACACACGTATCAAGTGTACACTGATAATAATGTTTATTTAAGCGTAACTTAAAGTGAACTTTCTTGAACTGTAGATCTGTTAATATTTATTGATTGATTATGACAATTTCCATTTTGGTGTTTCCATTTCCATTCGAAACTTATTATAGTTGAGAAAATGTCTCTACTCATAAAATGTACTAAATCTATATATAAATTCATGTGTTGTTTTTACTATAACAAAAATTCTATTGTTCAACAGATTCGTGATACGGCAATTCGAAAACAATCGAAAATGCATTAAATGGATGCACGTTTTTCATTTATTTTTATTCTGGATCGTTAAGTGGAAATAACTGTTGTTTCTTTGTGCGTTTTCAATGATAAATCGTGATTGTTTGAAAACAAAACAGCGACTTCCTCGTACATGAATTTCTCCTTGCGGGAATCCCGTCTCGCTCATGTTAATACAAGCTTGTATTTAGCATGAATCAAGAGCGATTTGAAAAAAAAAGATAGTCGAAACCGGATGCGAATTATGTAATAAAAGAACTGTTAGTAAAATGAAAATGTATAATAGAAAATTTTGATATGAATTAAGAGTTATCACTGAATTGGATGCACAATTTTGGATTGTAGCTGAAGCAATGATTTGAAACGTAATTATCGAAATAATCGGCGCGGATTACGTAAGTTTGCGTCAATAAATAATCATTTTGGTCGCGTTTTCGTTGCATTCGTACAATGGGGCCTTGCGTAATGCGAATTTCACCGCGGCTTTCCCGATTGACGTTCAAGGATTTTCTTTCTTCGTTTGCAATAGAATTCATTATTTGGATGTTTTTTTTTTTTAAATTTAATAATGTTCAATGTTGGCTCGTTACATTCATGGATACGGATCAACACTTGAACTTGAACTACAATCATTTATCTCTTTCTCTTGAGATGACACACGATGTTGGCACGTTTTGGGTCATCCGTGTCGAAAAATAAAAGCGAGAATTAATAATTGGAGAAGAATTAAAGAGTAGGAAGTCTTTTTTTTGCTTGTAAATGCAGTTTCTCTTAATTATAGATTATTTTCTGCGCTTCGGGCACTTAAATCTTTTTGCATACACGCTTATGTAAACCGTGATTCGTGGAAGAGATTTGTCATATCTAAAAACGTTTAAATTATAATAACAATGCCTTGTTAGATTGTTGCGACTTTTGATAAAAGTTTGTGCAATGATATCAAGAAAATATATCATTTTTGCGAGAGTGGGAATTCATAATGCGTTACTGGATGACTGTGAGTGTGTCTATATATATAATATTGAACGCAGTGACTGTTTGTTTGTCTTCGCAACGAGAAAGTGAAGAAATTCATTCTGGGTCAAACTTTCTCCCGGTCTTGAGTCAGAGGTTTTCGGTCCCACAGTCACAGTGAAACCGTCCAGTTGCGCGCACATCGAAAGGAAATCAGTCCGTTTTCACGTTCCTCGTACAGAATTATATAAATTTTTTAGCATGAAGATAACCTTCGGCCTCGTGCTGCTCTCCGTGGCATTGGTTAATTCCCAAAGTTGTCTAACGCCGAACGACAACAGACCTCCGAATCCGAACAGCAAGAGTGGTTTATACAATGGCCAGCAGGAGTTCTCTCTGGCCCTTCTTCAGGCCATCAACCAACTCAACCCGGATGCCAACCTGTTCTTCTCGCCCTACAGCACGTACCACGCTCTTCTCCTGGCTTACTTCATCTCCGGGAGTCAAACGGAAGGATACTTGAGGAAAGCGCTGAAACTGAATCAACATCAGGTTGGTGTTTCGATCTAATTTGAATCTATTGAATTCTAAATTTGTTGATTTTTGTAGGACAAGGCCGATGTATTCAACGCGTACAAATTGGACAAATTCGCGACGCAATTGCGTTCCAAGAATGCCTCCTACGAGTTCTCAAACGCCAACCGGATATACGTGGACAAGAGCGTTGAAGTGAGGTCGTGCATGAGTCCATTGTTCTTGGACGAGTTGCAAAGCGTCGATTTCCAGAAGGATCCGGAGGTCGCTCGCATGGGCATCAATTCGTGGGTCGAAGCTCAAACTAGGGACATGATCAAGGATTTGCTTCCCGGAGGAACTATCGATCAAAACACCGATCTGGTCTTGGTCAATGCTGCTTACTTCAAGGGTATTTGGGAGAACAAATTCGATCCGGCACTGACTAAACCCGATGTCTTCCACATCACCCCGAGCAAAAGAACCTTTGTTGATATGATGCATGTGGAAGGAACCTTCAATCATGGTAATCTTAATAAAAACATTTCAAAATTTCATTAACTAATTGGTAAATATTAAAGACGTCTCCGAGGATTTGATGGCTCACATCTTGGAACTGCCTTACCAAGGCGGCGATATAAGCATGTACATTTTGTTGCCACCCTTCGCCAAAGAAGACGGAATCCCCACAATCCTGAAACGCCTCACCTTGGAACGTTTCAAGAGCATCGTCGATGAGAACAGCTCTTTGTCAGCCAGAACCGTCCAAGTATCTGTACCCAAATTCAGTTTGGAGCACACCATTCAGATGGTCCCGGTAAGTTGCAAAAACTAAATCTTACAAATAACACCAACGAATGTTTGAAAGTATTTAAAAAGAACAAAAGCGAATTTACATAAATAGAACGTCAGAATATCAAATTGCTGTGGCTCCATAAAAAAAGTTGAAACAAAATATCACTGTCAAAATTGTTAGCGCACAAAAAAAAAACAAATCCGCGAGTCGAAGATCTGTGCTCCAGAAGATGTCTACCTTTCTTGAAGGATGAGCGGCGTTCGAGTTTTGTACAGAAAACTCAGCAGCTGTCTCCAAGGGTTACCATGGCGGAGGAACTACTGCGACTCGAAGGGAGTCCACACTTTAAATGAAGAAGTTCAAACCCCGCAGGCCGTTGAGAAGCTGCAGCCGCAGAATTTACCAAAGTTCGGCAACAGAGCGCCGACGGTTCGCAGCGAGATCAACCATCCCCTTCTACTCAAGAATGTTAATCGATTCTTTCCGATGGAAAACTCTCGAATGATGCCCTACACCCTACAGACTGTCATGTCGAGAAGCGTCCGTGAAGAGTTGGAAAGGAAAAAGCAGACATCCAAAGAATTGCAGCCCATCAATTTGCAACCGTTCGGCCAAGAGATTCCTCGAGTAAATCGCGAAATTGCTAGAATATTCCTCTCCAAGCACTTCAAGAATCAGTGTCCGCCGAAGCCCAGAGTCTACGACAATCGCTACTATTTGGAATGCGCGAAACCTAAAGAGCATCTGGAGAAAATAACGGAAATTGATCAGTTACGCAGATTGAATAGGCACTTCTCGGAATGGCGCAAATACGAAACGGAATCATTCGAGACGAAACCGATGAAAACTAAAGCGAACATCAAAATTGCTCTGAACAATCCGGCCGTGATCAAGATCAAACATAAGAGAGAATACTGCACGAACGCGAGCAGATATTCATCCACACTGGCCAAGTTGCAGCATGTCACTTCCTGGATCAAAGCCAGAAACCAGAAGAAGATGGAAGAGCTTCAAATAGAGTCTCCCACTATTTTGGCATGCAATGTTTTGGAGCACAAAACCGATAAAAGTGACAAATTGAAACATTTCATAGATAAAGCAGTTCACGATATCTACAGGAAACAGGAACTTACCGATTGGTTTTCGTCGCAAGATAATTTGGACTTGATTAAACCCAAGGCTACGGAAAACGAAGAAAATCAATCTACGACGGAAGAGAATAAGGAACTTGTTTTTGGTAAAATGGAGGAGGTCAACGAAAATGTAAATAACAACTCTAATTACCTGGATGAGATACTGAATGATAAAGTGGAAATTGATAATGAACATAAGCAGAAGGATATCAATAATCTGGACCCGTTGAACGTATTAAAGTGCAATTTAAATCCAATTAATTTCCGTCAGTACAGAACAACAAATCTCTCCGGTTTACCTATAACTGAAGTGCGACAGCGTAAACCCGAACTCACGACGCAAAAATATTACACCGGAAGCAGTTGCGTACCTCTGACGAAATACAAGAGGAAGAACCATATATCTTTTAGCCCTGGTTTCTCGCTGAACATCTGATTTTGAATAATTAATAAAAATGATTTGTTTTTTTTTAATAATAATAAATCGAGTGTTTTGATGATCTTCGAAATGTCGATGGCGGCGTTGGAATCAGAGCAAAACTTCAAAAATTTTATCGGCGTCACGTAAATTTTCAGTGCATTATGGCGTTATGGCTTTTAAATCGTATTTTCGTATTCCGCGATCGATTATTGCACAATTCTCGGTACGCAAATAGAAAATTCCAAAGCGTTTCGGGTCCAAGAAATAATGGTAAAAAAGATTCGAAACGCGGCATAAAGATTCATCATGAGGGTAGAGCGTTGAGCGGAGCGATTTTGAAGGAGCAGGAAACGCAGGAGGAGGATACGAAGAAGTCTTCGACTGGTGATGAAGTGGAGCTGATGACACCGACGAAAGATGAGAGCGTAGTGAAGGAAATTGATAGCAAGGAGCAGATTAAGAAGATCGGCTTCAGGAACGTCAACGGGGCGATGATCGAAGCGCCCAAGGCTATGTTGAAACCGATTTCGGAATCGTACCCGTGGCCATCGTATTCGGATAGGTTAAAACTGAAGAGAGCCAAACGGGATGAGATGTTCGGATTAAAGAAACGCCAATATTCGACATTTGCGGATAAGAAAGTCGATATGAACGTCAAGAATGTGATCGAGGATTGGATCAACAAGAGCCAATCAGATATTAGGATTGATCAGCTCAACAACAAGACTATACAATACGCACCTCCGAAGCAGTACAATCCCTTCAAGAAGAGCCAAAAGATTCCAATTGTAATGCCTCAAGAAGCGACGAAGGAGGAGCAGGAGGAAAAGCAAGTACCGGAATCGGTCGAGGAGATTGAGGAGGAGACGCCTCCGACGTTGATGACGGATTGGTACGCGTTCACCGGAAGCAAATACGTCGAGTTGAACAAGTACGGAAACGAGCGTGAGGAGAATTTCAAGAGGAAAAACCCAAAATTCAGGAAGCAAATCAACAAGTCTGGTCAGAGGAATTTCAGCACTCAATCGCGTAGACCCTCCATGATTCCGAGATTGGTGAAGAAGTATTCGACTGGAGTTGCACGCGCCGACGACGACAAAGATCTCTATAAACGGAAAACGTTGCCAATTTTGGTTCCAGCCAAGTTTCCAATTGGCATCGAAAAGAAACAAACTATGAAAGATGCTCCACCTCTAAGAAGACTCAGGAAGGTTGTGCACAGCCAACCGATTAAAGCAATGTCCGAAGCTGAAGGTTTTGACAACAAGAGAGCCGACGATGACGTGATTTTGAAAAGGAAAGCCCTACCAGCCATCCCTTAAATAGTTTATCATATTTTTTGTAATTGATCTTTTGTCGAGTAAATTTGATTTTTGAATTGATTTTGGATTACCGGATTAATGATCGATTAAATATTTTTAAACATTCTGTAACTAATAATACATCGGGAAGTGCTTCTGAAACTCAATGCCTTTACGTGATGCCAAATATTATTTATATATTTGGATGAGAGAATAATGGAAGTTTTTCAATACACTTTATACATACATGCTTACATTGCAGTTCTTATTTGATTGATTCAAATTAAATTCGCATTAAATTGAATCAAAATTCAACAATAATGCTTAGTTATGACATAATAACATGTTTTCCATAATTAAAATTGAAAGGAACTTACTAATTAATACTATGCCAATAAAACATGGGTAAAACACATAAGGTTAATAGACAATTATTAATATTTTAACTTGAATATTTGTTTATAAGTGTTTAGTTTCAATTCTTATTCGTCTTAGTCTTCAGTTTATTTTTCTTAAGTTTATACTTTTCCTTTACTATTGATACTTTTATTCAATTCAATTGCTGTTATAATCTATTTTCTTGTGCCTCTACTATTTTCGTCTACTTTTGATACTTAGTCTCCAGTTCAAATATCATTATTTGACCTTATATAACCTACAGTATGAAGTTCATCATTTACAATGTAAATACTTTGCTAAAAAATATAATCCTCTTTTCTTTGTCCTTTTGGTACTTACACTTCAGTTTCAATGACTACTCTTTTCATTGAAATTATTACTATTTTTACTATTTTCAAACATTCTTATAATATAGCCTTTATGTTTAAAGTGTTTAATATTAAATTAATTACAATAGAAAAACAGAACTTTTGTTTTGTAATAACAATATTTACTAAAGAAATAATATCTGGGAAATCCTGAGTTTAAGAAGCACCAATTATCAATTGATGCGCTTGTTGGAAAAACATCAACATCCCCAAAATTTCGATACATAATTAAATTTTAATAGATTTTTGCATCACAATGAAATTCCGCGCAATTGATTATTTTGATAATAAAGTTGTTGCCTGCAAGCATTTTAATTGTTTTCGTGGTAGTTAGACATGTGGATACGAAGAGATGTTTGTGTCCGTCGGTTAATCAGTGAAGTGGTGATTTTTGCATAGATCCTTGAATCACTTGGTGTGGGCAACCTTTTCCGTCCAGACGCCGACTTTTCCCTACTAACAACAGGCAGAAAGCGCGTCTCCCTCGGCGAAGCCATTCACAAAGCAAAGATCCAAGTAGACGAGAACGGGGCTACCGCTGCAGCCGCAACGGCAGTCTTCACATTCAGAATGATGAACGAAATTCAACCGGTTGTCTTCAACTGCAGCAGACCATTCGTCTACCTCATATACAACAAACGCATGCACACCGTCCTCTTCACGGGAATTTACAGAAAACCCTATTGAGAATACTCAATTAAGAACACGCTCGGCAGCTTCAAATTACTAAAAAAAAAAATAATAATAATACATGTGTAAATTTAATGCTTATACTACGGGTAGTTTTATAATTATTTTCACTATTTTTTCTTCGTTCTTTTAAGAACGGACATTGAATTTGTTAAATAAAATATATGTGAGATTATGCTATGCCTCCTCATGTGTTCCGTATCTTTCTGCTTTGTATTTTTTTAGATCTTGGAAGCTTTAGGTGTCGGCAATTTGTTTACGTCCTCTAGCGACTTCTCCACTCTGACCAACAGCAACGTTTCCCTCGGAGATGCTTTCCACAAGGCTAAAATTGAGGTGACCGAGGAGGGAACGAAAGCTGCTGCGGCGACGGTCCTCTTCACTTTCAGGTCGAGCCGACCTGCAGAACCAGCCCAATTCAACTGCAACCATCCGTTCGTTTACGTGATCTACGACAAAGTAGAAAAGGCCCTTCTATTCACGGGCGTCTTCAGGAGACCTTACTAATCCAATAGAAGAAGTAAAAAAAGAACACGATAGATATCCAGATTCTCGCAACAAGGAATCCTCTTTATTTTTTCTTGTACATAATTTGTTTTTAACTTCTTCCATTATTATTTTTTTTTGTAATGTTAGTTTCTATTCTGTTAGATACACTATTTAATGACGATTATATCAAATAAAACATGATAATTATTTATTTAATTCTCTTCTGCATACTTTATTTTTTTTATACATTTAGTATTAAGTTATGATGTTAGTTAAGTTGCATACACTCTAGAATCTTGTATTTTACTTTGTATTCAATATTTGATAAATAAATAATATTATTTAAATTACTTACAAATAAGTATTTATAAACATAATTTGTTTAAAAAAAACTATACTTTCATATGTTTATATAGTACTTTTTCACAAAATTATGTTTGGAAATTTTGTAAATTTATTTAAACAATTGAAATTTGCTTGTTAACATTTGTTTGTTATAATTTTGTAAGAAATAATGCGTTAGTGAATTGATTTTATATCATAATGTCTGTTTCAATCGTCAATATTATAAAAGTATAACAAAATACAGTGGAACCTCGATTAACGAGTTCCAAAATATCCGGATTTTTACTCGTATCGTGAAACATAGTGACGATGAGAAGAGAAGTATTTTTGAATATGTTTCACTATACGAGTAAAAATCCGAAAATTTTGGAACGGATTAAACTCGTTAAGCGAGGTTCCACTGTACTTGTATAATATTACTAAATACTCGAAATACAATAGCTATGTTACAACTTTTACAGAAATTAGTTATGATGTTATAAGTTGAATAATAACTACTTTTTACAATACTCTATACAATAGAAATGATGTAATAATAAGCTTTTGGATTTTAAGACTGAATTTACAGTATGTTGCAGTGAAAGTAATGATTCATATCTAATATATAATTCAAAACTAAGTACATAGTCTATAGCCCTTCCGGAAGTACCCCAACGCAATTAATATTTCATAGGAATCTAAAACTAATTACAACATGAATTTCAAGGAAAATGAAGTACTTTGTGCAAAGTATTATGCGAAATAATAAATACTAAAAGCAATTTAACATAATTATGAAAGAAACTTGAATAAGAAATGAACTTTTACATGGAAATTGACAACAAAAAGTAAATTAATTATTCAAAAAGCAGTAAATATTGTAATTTTAATAACAAATATAATAATATTAAAAAAAATTTAAAGAATTATTCAATTCAATTTAAAATGTATATTTGGTTGCATATTATTTAACATTAAATTATTAATAATTATCGAATTTGTATACATTTCATAACCATTATTTTTTATTTATTAAGTTAGGTAATTATATCATATTTAATATTGAAATAAAAACAATGTACAGCTCACTAATAAACTAAAAAGAAAAGGTTGTACGTAAATTGAAATTGAAATCAAGTTGTTTAACAAATGAATGTAGGAAATATCTTAATCGTTTGCTATTTGTCAAATAGAAGATAAGAAGAAAAAAATGTAAACTTCAAGAAAGTTATTCCATTACCATTGGCGCCTAGATAAGACCTTCCTGTCCTGTAGAGTTTGAATAATCAACCATTAACTATCTCAATCCACTTTGTATAATTATTTCATTTTTATAGTAATTATGATGAGGTCAGAAATTTTATTGTTAAATTATATTTTCAATAAAAGTTTGAAAAAATGAACAAGTTACTTCAGCTAACGAAGCATTATTGTATTACAGTATTCAAGTGTATTGTCTAGTCAATATCGTCTAAAATAGTCATTGTAGCTATGATAATAAAACGGAAATCAACGCTAATGTAAGCATTAATTGCTCAATTACATTATTCATCAATATACAGTAATAACTCGCATAGTGCTGCTTCGATCTGTCCGGATTGACTATATATCAGTACCTCGCTTAATGCAGCTTCGATCAGTGCGGATTCACTAAATTTTAATTGACAAAATTTAAAAAAATGTATATATAAATAATCGGTTTCTTTTTCCCTTATTTCATTTTCTTCAATTGCATATAGAAATGACATTTTGCTCAAAGGACCAATGATCTTCTATATTGATTATTGATAGTTCAAAATTTTGAAATGTTTGTTTCTTAGATTAAGAAAATAAAACATGAGTAAACGTGGAGCATCTATAAGGAATGTGTAAAGGAGTTCGTTCACAAAGCTGGAGAGGCGTATATATACAAGAAAATTTGTTATGAAAACGAGGGAGTCGGTTCTCAGAGGACAACATTAAGAAAGTAGTAGACATTAGTTAGTTTTACTATTTGAAGACCCTAAACAAATTTTCATTTGCACGCTCCAGCATTGTAGTTCCGCCACTGGCATGTACACTTGTTACTCAGAAACTGAGTCGAATTTGCACTTTCTATTATTAGTCATTCGATTTAAATATTACAATAAAAGAATGTTAGCAAAGAAAAAAAGTAGGTTTGAACATCTGTTTCGTGCTAATCGTCAACAAAACGTGTTTGACCATTTCAAAATCAGGTAATGGATTAGTATAAATCGTTGGAATTTCAGCAATTCTTGCAAGTACAAAATAATATCTCGTCTAAATTTAGATTTTACAGGTAGACGAGTGACCTTCCCATTCACATTCAAACGGTTTTCGACCATCCGTATCCGTTTGAAAATTTTATGAATACATAATTCTCATGCGGAAGTGACGTGCACATTTCGTGTACAATTACATACAAACATTTACTAGTCAGTTTTCAAATGATATTTTATAAATTGTTGTTATTTAAGTTTTGATTCAATATTTACTATATCGCAAGTTAATATCAAGTAAAGCTAAATATAATTAAGAAATAAACTTTTAAATTTTAACATATAAACAAAAAGCTAAATTCAATCAATACTTTTGTTGAGAATAGTTTAAGGTCGTTGCCCTATTCTGGGCGTGTAATGTAATGACTAATACAGCAATACCTTACATAGTGCGCCTTTCATCAGTCCGGATTTACTACAGTTTGCTTTAGAAATTTCAAATCAAAGAAAATTTTCTTTAATTTCAAAAAATTCGCATCTTTTTCCTTTGAACAGTCAAGTCTGCACTGTTTATTTGTATGTCGTTTTGTAGTCCTCGATTAGTCCGGTTTCAAACAGTCCGGAATGTTCAATTAACTAAATTTGTAATGTTTATATTGATGTACATTTTCAATTATAAATTTATTGTTTACTTTGATTTAGTTTCAAAGAGTCCGGTATATTGGCGGAACCGATTACCCGCACTATATGAGGTATTGTTGTACACATTTATAAAATATGTACCAAATTGGAAATGTTTAAATCAAATATTTTCAATATAAAAATTACATAAGAAACAGATTTATTTTTATTTTCATTTAGTTTTAAACAGTCCGTATATTGGCAGAACCAATTACCCGCACTATGCGAGGTATTTCTGTAAATATATATTTTACAAATACAATTCACCAATTTTGAAATATTTATATAAAAATTTTCAATAAAAAAATACCTAAGAAATCAAATTTATAGTTTACTTTGATTTACTTTCAAATAGTCCGGATATGCACTATGCGAGTTATTTCTGTAAATATATATTTTACAAATACAATTCATCATTTTTGAAATATTTATATCAAAATTTTCAATAAAAAAATAACCAAGAAATCAAATTTATTGTTTACTTTCATTTAATTTCAAACAGTCCGGATATTGGCGGAACTAATTACCCGCACTATGCGAAGTATTTCTGTACACATATATTTTACAAATACAATTCACCAATTTTATAATATTTTTATCAAAATTTTCAATAAAAAAAATACCTAAAAAATCAAATTTATTGTTTACTTTCATTTAATTTCAAACAGTCCGGATATTGGCGGAACCAATTACCGGCACTATGCGAGGTATTTCTGTACACATATATTTTACAAATACAATTCATCAAATTTAAAATATTTATATCAAAATTTTCAATAAAAAATGTCCCATTTTGAAATACCCATAAATTTATTGTTTACATACTTTTAATTGAAAAAATAACCTCAATTTTCCCATTGCGTAACAAACAAAATTATTCTGTATTATTATTCTATAATGTGGCATGATTGCAGCAAAGTTCAGAGTGGAATAATAACAGAGTGAGTCAGCAGAAAACGTCCCCCCGTTTCTTCTGTAAATTTTACATTTTCTCGCAATTCCCAATTATTTTCGTTATTTTGTGCTATTTTTAGTATAACGATGTTTAACAGAGAATTTTTAATTGCATAATTGCGTTTTTCTTTCGAGCAAACACGTCCATTCGGTTTTGCGAGAAAGCATCAAGTGTGCTTACGCAATTGGAGAAAATTCTCATTTCTGTCCGAACGGATTTTATTCGTTGGCTTCGTTAAATGGTAATTGATCCAATGCTTTTGCATGAAATTTACACATGCGACATGTTTCTAACAAGTGTACAACAAAATAAAATGGAATGAAATTGATGCGAAAATTTGAATTCAAATTTTCTGCTTGTTATTTATAATTTGTTATATCATCAGGTTAATTACAAAAGAAAAAATAGTTAATTAGACTATTACAAAGTAATAATGAAAGCGTATAAACAACACATGCGTTTACAATAAATTAAACGCAGTTGTTTGTACCAAAAATGATTCATCGAATTTCCCAGGACTGGTATCTAGATATTTCTGAACTGAAAGAAAACCAGAGATGATTAGATTTATAAAAAAAATCCAATATGTATGTCAACGAAACAGTACAAATTACAGTACAAAAAAATATGTTTACAGCACAAATTAAATTTACTTGTATTTGAGTGCAAAATAATATAGAACCCGATTCTGAATAAAATGAAGTTTGAAATTTATTATTGAAGTTGGCAATCTTTGCAGTATTTTCCAAGTTGAGGAGAAATTTAAAATTAGTGCAAATGTAACCTTGATATTGTAACAGCAAAACAACCGTGTAAAATGACGTATCGTATAACGCGTGCAAATTCTGTTACAATGTGAATACAAATTTTATGTTTTGAAGTATTATTTAAATCGATTTAAAATTATTTATATTTATGTATTTACTATGATACAAAACAATATAATTTGAATGAAATTTATTTAAAATACAAATTTAACTATTTAAAAACTATTCAAGATTGTAAATCTTTGATACTTAAGGTAATTTAAACATTAATATTTTAAATTTTTACCCAACATTTTTATTTGTAGTTGTACTATGACCCTTTTGCTAAGTGTATTTCATCTGTTTCTCGCTTTGACACAAGGTGACAGCTGTCATTTCATAACCTAAAATTGACTCGGCCCAATGTAATGTCAAATATGGTGATATTTATTATTTCAAAATTCAAAATTTCTCTATTTAAAAAGTTGGTTATAATCCTGTCAAATGTCATATAAATAATATATTTATAATTTTTAAATAATATTTCGAATGTCATGTGAAAATGTTATATTATGATGACAATTATTGAAAGAAAACCAAAGTTTCATGAATTTTTTTACTGTTCTGAAACAATTAACCCAACAATTATTACTATCTTTTTCAAACATTTCGATTGTAATGTCAAATGTCATATTATTATGGCATTTCATATTAATAAACAAACAAAATGTATTTATTATATACAAGAATATCTTGATTTTATTTTCTTGTTATTCAATACTTTAATGAGACAGTTGGTGTCAAAGAAACAAGTTTATCTCATTACATGTTCTTTTTTCTTATTCTCCTGTTTTGTAGTGATTCACATTTATTATTTCAGAAATTATGGTTTCAGCATTTTGCATGAATCATTTTTGTTTTTCTTTAATATCACTAAGTTATATATAATGTTTAAATTTTACCATTTCTGTATAGAATCTTGTTTTTAATTTAAAATATTTAATATTATACGGATTTCACAGTTGATAAAAATCAACTTATTCTTCTTGTTATGGTAAAATAACTGTCATAATGAGAATGCTTATATTGTGTAAAAGAAACTTGACTTTATATGAGTTAATTTTCTTAATAACCAAAACATATATTATTTTATTAAAAAATATGCATTTAGGAAGAAAACAAGTTGCTTATGAATATAAAACTGCACATTGAACAAGTGAATGACATGGCGTTAAAGTCAAAGAAAAATAAAACGAATAGAATGGAAACATTTTGAAAATTTCTTCAATCAAAATAAAAAAAAAAAACATGAAATGCTTTCAGTTGCAATTTCGGTTTGATATGTTGTGTAACGTTGCAGCAGCAGCGTAATAGCGTATGTTTCAATTTCGTAGCAAGCAAATAAAAAGAAAGAATGAAATGAATGATAGGTGACGCGTAGACCACTGATACATAGCATGTCTTGTGCCAAAGTTCATGGAATCCCGGATCATACGATGTGACGTCACGACGTCGCCACGTGACCGACGCCGCCAGATGGAGCTGTCCTCCGAAAACAATCGATCTTTTGAATGTTTGTAGAGGGGGCGGTGCTCTCCCGAATCGAATTAGGATCGTCGAAAAGGGAATAAAAATCGTGACGAAGATGACGGTATTGGGTTCAAATAACGTTAGAAATTTGTTCTGCATGAAGAGGGTCGTTGTTTGGTAGACCGATTGTATCTTGAATGGGATACCTAAGCCGAAATTCGAAGAAATACAAACCTATTGTTGGTAGGGAAAGACCGGGTTGGGAAAGGTGGAGAAGGGGCGCACCGGCGTTCGGCCTCATTCCATTTCGAACTGCTCCGAAAGCCGGTAGCAGGGTCTAAGAACTCTCGTGCTTTTCAGTTCTTCTTAGTTGTCCATCCGATCTTTTAACATTCAAGACCAATAAAGAGTAAATAAACGCGCGCGAGATCTTTTCGTTTCGTGTTTTTTCACCCAGTGTTGTTCAGTTCTTGAGTGGTGCTTCTTCCGTTGAATCACCGAAGGATGTTGGGTAAGCATCATTGACTTTGTGGTGCTTCTATTTTTGTTTTGTATGAATTGGTTCTTCACCTGCCGCCTCCGCAATCTGCATAGATGGTGATCTAAATTTAGATGAATCTGTGTGTAAACTTTTCGATATTCTAAATAGATTGGAGGGGTGAAGAGATAGGATTTTGATAGAGCGAGAGAAAGGCTGTGAAAGGTTGAGAGAGCGAATAGTGTGTGTGTGTCTGTGCGTTACACCTCATCAGCACTTATAGGTTATGTCTGTAACAGATTTGCAAACTACTACGAGGCCGCCAACGAAACACAGCACAGCCACGATGTCAAGGAAAAGGACGAGGAGCAGATCCGAAGACAACATCTACGGACAATCCAAAATCCAATCCCTCAACCTGGTGAGTGTCATAACCTAGAAACACCCCCTAAAAATGGTGCTTTCTATCTGCTGTTTTATATAAATATATAAATGTGTCTGTCTGTCTGGTGTGTGTACATGCATCTGGTGCCATATGCCAATTTGGACGACTCGGCTGGATTGTACAATGTGTATACTAGAGAAAATATAAATATATAAAAAAAAGGCTGTGCTCTATTTCGCTCCCAAACGCTGACGTGCCGTTGCTTCGTTTTATAATAAACTCTATGTAAAAATAAAACTGTTCCATAATTTTCAAAACGATTAGCATACAATCAAAATCGTATACGTAAGTTACGGATTTGCATCGTCATTTTAAAAGAATCATACTGTACAGTCATATCAACATATGCACTCATAACATCTGACATACTTCAAGTAACGTCAGTATCGACGATCCTGTAAATATGTCATAGGTGCTTTGTTTTTGGCATTTGGGTGAATTGGGTCGATGTTGGGCGTAACTCATTATAATTGATGCAACACGGCATCTATTAAAGAATGCAATTATTAATTTAATTAAGGTGTTAACTGATCTAATTATAATCCAACGTAACAGCAGCTTTTTTTTTTGATGTGATTGAAAAATGTAAACAAAACGATATGGAAATTCGAAACTCGAGATGCCAGGTGTTCTGTGCAAACATTGTAAACGCTCCCAGACGGTCTGACCATAAGAAAAGCCGACAAGTAAAAGTTGCAGACATTCCACGGCTTTTAAACATCGGTCGTCTCTATGGTTTCGTGTCGATGAAAATCAATTGCGACGTCAAGACTCGTAAGATAATCACCATGGCAACTTTGCATTGTTTGCATGGTAACCATTTTATTATTTGCACATATATTTTCTTTAAATTATTTGCTCAAATATTGCGAATTCCATTTAATCCTTTACTGAAACGTCTTTCGATGACCAGGAAATACGTATTAAAACATGTTTATTTCATACAAATTGCTGATTTATTAGGTTCGAAAAAGTTATCAACAAATTTGTAAGCATTTCTTTTACTTTTTTTATTTATTGATTATGATTTTACATCAACACATGTTTTATCACGAAAGGAACGGTTTTTTTTTGCAATTTTTATATAATATAACAAATGATAATACTTTTTATTGTCATGTAAACAAATTTGTATGAAAATTAAAATTTTGATTAGTATTTCATTTTTTATTTGCTATTAAATATATCGACAACATATGCAATTATTGTTAATAAATGATAATTATTATTGTTTGTCATGACAACTAACATTAGTCCTTGCATTGTTTACTTTTCACTGCATTAAAGCAACAATATATAATTACTGAAATGTCAATGTAAGATGAAAAACACATGTAATAGAAAAACAATTTACAAGAAGAAGATAACTAATTTCATGTATTCTTTCACGTGGTTATTGTGATTGAAATATATCGTTTTTGTACTGATGTTATCTAACGGTGTTTGTATAAACTATAGATATTACGTATATTGTGTATCCATTATTTGTTATCTGGATTATCTCATGTGTGTGTAGTCGTTTTCGCGTAATCGTACGGCCGATGAAATGTCCTTCGTTTTCTCTAGCTTTTTTTATTCCTCGTATTATCCGTAATAATTGCAGACGTTTACTTCATTGCGTCGGCTTTCGATCCGGTTTTTTCATTCGAAAGTAAAAATGCACGTCATGTATCAAGTAGAAGATGAAATAATACAGGTGTTAAAATATTATAATATTAACTGTAATAGAATGTTATGTCATAAAATATAAGAGAAGAAAGAGAATTAATTTTAATCAAACAAAGAAGAACTTTGAGTATTTATATAAAATTTGATGTATTTATATAAAAAACTAAAGAACTAAACAATTGATTAAAATTTTTAAATAATTAATAAGTATCATTATAATTCTTGTAAAAATATTATAAAAACTATAAGGAAACAAACCTTAAAGCAGCATTGATAACTAGAAAATACAAATCCTAACCTATTTACTTAGCTAAAAGGAGATGAAAAACAGGGTCAATCGATGAGTGAAGTCAACGGTCGGAAGGGGCAGTTTTCTCTTGAGGATAATATCATTTCTCGTTGGATCATGGAGTAAACATAACTCGTGTTTGCCAACAAACTTCGCCAAAGATTCTTTGCGCTTCCAAAGCAAGATCAAACGAAACGAAATGTTTGATGTTTTATTTAACATTAGTAATCAAAATCTCATATCTATTCGAAATACATTGACTAAAGAAAACTAAAAGTATAATATTTTATCGAAGAAATAGTTTTCGTTTTGTGTTGTGATTAATAATGCATTAGTTCTCATTTCACGAATTCCCAATTTACGAAAATAATTTTCAGATTACAAATATACGATTTAATTAATGTATTATGTAAATGTGTAGTCTCACTTTAGGAAAGAACTAATTTATTTATTTACGAAAGTACAAATTGATTTGTAAAAGCATGTTTTTACTTTATGAATTACCGATTTACGAAAATATTAATTTATTTTGTAAAATCATATTCTCACTTAACGCATTTCTAATTTATTAAAGTACGAATTAATTTCGTAAAGGCGAGTTCTCACTTCACGAATTCAACAAATTTATTTTGCATTACGAATTCTCGATTTACTAAAGTACAAATTTATTTTTTAATGGCATGTTTTCACTTTACGAATTCCCAATTTACTAAAGCACTAATTCATTTCATAAACTCGTATATTTCACTTTACGTTTTCCATATTTATTAAAGAACAAATTTACAAAATAACAAATTAATTTTAAAAGGCTTTATATTTATACAATCACTATTTTTACGTTTTTTTGTATCTATTTAGTCTCGATTTGTCCGGATTATGCGAGTTATTTCTGTACACAATATTAAAATTTGTGAAAAACGTAATAAAATGCGAATTGTCGAGACAATTTTATGCAAAAAGGTAAATGTCCTTATGTTTCATTAACTACGGTCGTTACATTTGCATTTTCGCTGGGCGAGGAGAAAGAAAAGAAACGTGCATAAATAAATGCATGAATCAGCCAAAACGAATGAAAAAAAAGTAACGAAGAAGTGAATACTCGGTGGGTTTATGTAACTGCACGCGAATCGAGCACGTGTAACGGGCTTATATATATTTTTTGTAGAACATGTCCATTCGAAATCGACATTGCGTAAAACTAATTATTACAAAAGGTTTTAATTAACGGTATTAAAAAAATAATGAAAGAAAATGTAATTTCGTAGATAATCTTCTGTTGTTTCGTGTTGTTTACGTACACGATTATTTATTTCTAAAAAAATCAATCTTATTGCTCTTTCATTGTGACTATCTTATAAAACATTAATGTTTCTGTTGATTTTTATTAAATTCAAAACATTAGAAATTGTAGAGTTTTAATCTTATAAAGTTTATTGATTCAACTCCGCATCTGGCCTGTATTATCATATAAACATTAATGTTTATGTTGCATTTTTTTTTATTTCAAAACATTAGGAAATAAGAATTGTAGAGTATGAATCTTACATAGTTTATTGATTCAACTTCGCATTTGGCCAGTCAACAATTTGAAATAGATGTGACGCATGTGTATGTACAGTGTTTAATGCGCCATTAGATTATGTTTGTGCTGCGAACACAAAACCACTGATACACATTTTGTGCGAGTGATGAAAATAACGTTAAGTTATTAACAACATTACTCATACCATAATATAGAAATTTTCTGGATTTTATTACAGTTTTTTTTTTAAATATTGTTAAATTTGATCTATAAATACATATTTAATACGATACGATAAAACCGATACTTTTAGTCAATTATATCATTCTCAGCATTAGTTATATGATAATATGTTTTTTTTTAAATTTATTTATTTTACAATTAAATATTATAAAATTCATACTGATATTTAATGTAGGAATGCATCTTCACACTTAACTACATTACGAAATGATGATGATGTAACTGAAGAATTATTTATAATAGACGTGGTTGTTAAGAAATTGCGTATATTTCTATTTTTGTAAGAATAATGAAGTACTATTTTTTTCTTCTTGTGTTGAAACCTATTTCCGGATGTAGTCTCGGGCTGTAAACTCATTAGTTATGTTCGGTGGATGATCGAAAAGGTCACGAGATAATGTCTTTCTGCGTGTCGTCGTCCGTCCTTATCACGTCTACGGAGATAGAAAAGTTCGGATTGGGGATACCTTTCGATGTCTATTTTTAAACATTATTTCCATTATCAAAAAATGTTATTATTTTAAACGAAATACATACACACGCCTGACGGATTTAGAACAGGATACTCACTCAATTCACTAACTCTCCTCTCACAATAGTCATTCAATCGGGCAATCATTGAAAATCGCGTGATACGTTCAATAAGTCTCCACTGCGGTTCGGCCAACCGTTGTTCATTATCCAAGTTTAGATTTGAATGATTTAAGCAAAAATAATTTTTCAACTTTTTAGTCGCAATCAATTGTTTATATTATTAATTTGTCGAGGCTTTGAAGCAAAGTGACAGCTGTCATTTAGCTTAAAGCAAGGTAACAGCTGTCATTTAGCTTAAAGCAAGGTGACAGCTGTCATTTCATGACCCATTAAAAGTTTGACAGGACGCATAGGTTGAGAACTTCTGTTTTTAGATCATCGTATATTTAAAAATTCTTTGTAATCTATTTTGTAAAATTTAAAATTTATCAATAATTTATAATAGAAAATAATTCAAATTTCTCAAAATAGAAGAATCTTTTTCGTAATTTTGTATTTTAACTTAATCAAGTATTTTTTTGCATTAAAAGCAACGTACACACTATTTTAGATAAATGACAATGTATTTATTTTGTAATAGATTAGTTTAATAATTGAATATATACCAGTGTTTCTCTACAAAAAAAAACTTTGATATTGCTTGAGGTAAACAGTTTTTTCATTATCGACTAATTTTACCAAAAAAAGAAACGTACACACTATTATAGAATGTTTCAAATT